CACCCATACCGACCACGCCTTTGGCACCCTGCGCTGGAGTCTGCACAGGCGCCGGCCACTCTCACCAGCCCCGCAGCCCAGAGGCCGCAGCTCGCCAGGAAACGGCGCCCCTCTCCACAACTGGAATCCGCACCGGGCGCGCTGGCTCCTTCGTTACAGAGCAGCCTGCTGTGCCTACCTGAGCGCGGAACCCACGAGGGCACCAGCGGTCCTAGGAATCACAGGACAGTCTCACTGGCTGCTTCAGCTCTCCTCTTTCCAGCGTCTCTCCCAGCGAAATGTGGGCGAGGCGCCCTCTTCTTCCCTGCGCGTGAGCTGCTTCTGAGCAATAGCATCAACGTGGGGCCCACCTGGACGCCCTCGTCCACTCCCCTTCTGCAGGTGCGCCAGGTCATGGATGGGTCAAGTCATTAAGTAGTCGACTGGATTTGCCCCAGGGGCCACTTCTGCAAGGCTATTACAGCCACAAGGAATCAGTACTGCTGTCGTGGATGGAGTGTCCACCACATGTGAAACCCTGTGGGAAGCGCTTACAGACATGTCCTCGGGTGATTTTCATAAGAAACCAAAGGGGTGGTCAGTATTGTTACCAGCACTTCTTGCCGGTGGGGAAACTGAGACCTGTGGGGTTAAAACTAGGTCACCAGCTAGTGAGAGCGAAACTGGCACATGCATCCAGGCTGACTCCAAACTTCTTGGAAGGGCCCTCGGGGTGGCCTGCCTGCTCAAGCAGGGGCAGCAGTGCCAAGGCCGAGTGACAGGGGGCACATCCAGCCCGAGCAGCACAGGGCGGACTGACCTACAAGGCACAGCAGGTGCAGCGACACGGTGCTTAGAGCCACCTCAAGCGAGGCACAGGTTTCAGGGACAGCACGGCCCTGAAATGGTTTTGAACGTCTATCCTGCAGAACGGTCAGGGGATGTGTACCTGTGGTTTTAAGTCTCCCACTTTGTGATATTTTGTTATAGCAGCTCTAGGAAACTAATACAGTATCCCCTGTACTTTCACAAGGACATTGTTTCAATTACAGAAACTTTCCTAATATAAGTCCAGCGGGCAAACATGTACACATACACCGTGTTTTATGAAAAAAATCACCTCCAGCCTCAAACCCCTTTCTAGATCTCTTGCCTCTGACTTCTTGTCCTTGCACCTGGCACCATCTCAAATCCACCAGGGCTGGGCGCCACGTGAGTGCTGCTGCCTCTGCTCTGTGCACTTCCTTTCCCTTCGGGAAGCCCTTCACAGGTCCACGGAGACCAGGCCACAGACCAGCTGGCCAGCTGGCCCTCTGTCACTGACCCAACACACTCACTAGCAACAACATCCTGCTAGTTTTTCTACTTCTTTCCATCTCGTGTTCAAATTCTGGTTACTGCATGTTTGTGGCAGTGAACCCAGATTTTACAGAAAGAATGGTTCAGTACGTGACAACAATGTCACTTGAGCCCTGATATGAAGGGACGGAGCTCAGTGTCCACTTACCTGCCTGCTCCTGGGCCCCGGGGCATTGCTGTCCCTCCTGTTTGGGGTAGATCTTTCTCCAGCCCCAGCTAGAAGCTGAACTGGAGCTTCCCACCTGCTGGATGGGTTATGTCCATTGGCAGAAAAGTACTCTTTTCCTCCTGAAAGTCATTCATCAAGAAAACACTACAGTATTTCCTATAAGGAAATGTAATGGCTTGATGAATCAAAAACCTACATTTCTCTTTAGAAAACCCAATAAAGCCTCAAACCTTCCAAACAAAAATCTGCTGTGTACAAGCTTTGCTGTACACTCTGACTTGGGGAGATAAGGAGGTAAAACATTTATCAACAAAGAAACTTCAAAGCAGGAATAAGAAAGGCACACAAGAACTATTATGGGAGGCAAATACACTGTGCCTCAGAGACATACAGCTGAAGCTGCATCCAGAAACAAGTATCTGCAAAAGCCCTATCTCCTGTCACACTGTGGACCAACTGATTAGCTTACTTAGCAAGACTCACAGCTCACTCATCAAGGCTAGGTTAAGATTCTCACGGCTCTGTGCCCACACAGCGCTGTGCCCAATGCTCTTACATCATAAACTCCGCTCGGTCTCAGGACCTGCTTTAAAACCACCCCACTCAGGCCTCAGAGCCTGACTTCCTCCTTCCAAGAGATGACTGAGATTCCTTCAAAGTGGTGCCCTCCCTTACGGCAGTGAATATAAACTTAGCCCTGCTTAATCAACAGGGATTCCCTCGTTCTCAGGCAAAACGATTCCCAGTACTTGACATGACCAACGCCACCTCACGAAGAAAGCTGACTCCCCTCCGCCCTGGCAGGGGTGGCCCCATATCACCTGAAACACATAACCTTGCACAGATAAACACGCTCATCAAGTTGTTTACTGCTTTGGATTATACAGCTCTTAACCAGCACATGTCACGTGGCCAGAGGCCACCTGTCTGAGGCCATGCCTCTTGGCTGTATAACAAGCCCCATCCCCTTTCAGGCACAGAGACCTACTGTCTTGCTGCCCAGGAAACTGCATCTGTCCATACGTTCCTTAAGTTGATGCAGTGCTGGAGTTACCAGACTGTTTCTTCAGTCTCCCAGCCCTGGGAGATTTTCCCAGCACTCATGGACACATAACTCGAGCTGGCCTAATCAGAGTCTTAATAAAGAGTTTGGTGCTTGGGAGGGGATGTTGCAAATTATCTAAAGCTGAATAGGGAACCAGCTAAGTTAAGGGGAGGGATGGGACAGGCAGGGTTCCCCGACCCTTGTCCTCATGGGAGAAGAGAGGCAACTGAGTGCACTGCTGTGTCTTGGGACTCAGACCTTGTAAGACAGTTCTTTGGGAGACTTGGTAGAAACACATCAGGCTCTTGGAATTTGTGAACTACCTCTTCATGATGTCAGTAAGGTATCTGAAGAAAGACATAAGCTGCCAGGCCAACTAGCCCATTCGAAGGTACAAAGGAAACAGCCATCAGCTTTGGTAATAACAGCTCATGTTCATTGCATGCTATGTGCCAGATGTCATTCTGAATGCTTTACATGGATTTTATGACTCAATTTCTACAATAACCCCACAGAGTGTGCAATGTCATTATCTCTACAGGGAAAGAAACTGGACCCAGGAAGATGCAGTCACCTCACCTAGGCCAGGGAGGGGTGGAACCGAAAAGCAAACTCGGCCAGTCTCACTGTGCAGTCCATACATTTAACCCTTCGCTGGCAGCCACGCAACCACAAAGGGGCAGAGAGCCCAAGTCTTGCAGAACTGCAAGAGCCAGAGCCTCTGCTTCAAACAAAGGTGCGTGATGAGACAGTCAGGAAACTACAGCAGGACGGGGCCCTTGGAGACAGCAAAGACACAGGATGGGGGTTTCATCTCCAAACCCCTCCTGCCACGCAGAGGCCGTCATTTCTACTAAAGCAGTGGTCTGTCTCTGGGATGCAATCTGGGGCAAGGGCAGATCCCTTTTGTTTCAGGTTTTTCTTTTTCAATGACATTTCCCATGTAATATTATTTTATATTAGTTTCAGGTGCACTGTTTCAGTTTTTTCCAAAGCTGAAGAGATTGGAGCCACTCAGCTGAAGATGAAGGGCATGGACAGGAAGTCTGTGGCCAACAGACAGAAATCAAAAAGATGGCTCCAAGTTCAAGAAGCTAGATCTAGGCCTGTAGCCCACAGCATTGCCAGATATCAGATCTACCAGCTTCTAACTGGGCCTTTTTTAAGGGTTTTATTGCCAAGGAAATTATTATAGCCCAAGAAAGGGGCCTAGAATTCCTCTGCCTTCACAGAAATCCTGAGGCTTCTTCCACATACCTCCCCTAACCATGCCGACAAGAAGAGGGCTGCCGTATGGGCACGCTCACCCAGGCACGGCCATGGGGCAACCTGCTGCAAAGCAGCACCAGTGGCCCCTGGGCTGGCTGATCAGAAACCCACTCCACCACCGGGGCAGGGAGCCCGTGCTAGCCCCCTCCTGTAGGAAAAGTACACAATTTGGATCAGTGACAGCTGTGTGCAGTTTTCCCTTCCCCCTTTTCCCAAACGGGAATGTGGGACCTGCAGCACCTGTTTCTTCCACTGTAATGCAGGATAACATTCCTATTTACTACGTGGTATTGTTGTGAGGATTAAATAAGTTCTATAAAAAAATGCTTAGGTCTCATGGCACAGAGTAAGTGTTTAATTAGTATTGGATGTGTTGTTTTATCATGTCCTAGATGGGTAGGAAATAGTTCAATTCCTCATCAGTTTATAGATTGTCAGAACAGAGTGGCCACCCAGGGACATCGGAGGGGTGGACAGCCCCTGACCGTGCTCAGCTTGGGGCTCGGTGAGCTGTGAAGTCCCCTATGGATGCAGTGGCTGGATCTGATTTTTGCTTGCTTCCTTTGGGGAAAAGGTCGGTAAGTTTGGGTTTTTTTTTAAATGAGGTGGTAGAATTATTTTAAGTTGAATCACTCTTTAAAATGTCTGTGTAAGAAGGGCATGTGCATTCATGCATGTTCCCATATGGGGGACAATCAAGGATGAAAGGGAAAGGACATCCAGTCATTGAAGCCCGTCTTGTGACAGTGCCCCCAGCCCCCTCCCAGTCAGCCAGTCCTAACTGGCACAATAGAAAAGCAAGGAGCTGTGTGTTTCCATTTTCCTGGAGTGAAAGGTGCTGAGAAGGAACCAGGGGGACAGGTTGGAAACAGGAAGAGATCATGGTGGGTCACAATCGCTACACTGCAGGGCTCAGAACTACAAGGATCAGGAGTCCTCCTCCCAGATGCCTCTTTGGCAAAGTCTAAGAGCCCTCAGTCTGTGCTGCCGCACCTGGCTCTCCTGCCAACACAGTTACCACCTCGGCACCTGGCTCACAGGTCAGGCCTGGCCTCCCTGGGAAGCTCGGGCTTCTCCCGACCCCCAGGCCCCTGCAGGGCCTGCCTCTTGCTGCACCTACTTCCTCCCAGCCCAGCCCTGAGCACGCAGCTGGTGCATACACCTGACAGACAACAAAAACTGATTTAGAACTACTTTATTTGAAGACATTTTCTTCTAGAGTTCTAAACACAAAATGGATGCTGGTTGAGCAAGTGCTTCATAGACATCATTGTATTTAAATGAACCATATGATAATGTTTACATTTTAAGCCACACTTGAAACTGAAGACTCAATACAATCTTTTTAACAATGTAGCAGTCATAACAAAACATAACTATTTATTCTACAAATTATCATTTTTCCAAAAATGACCACTAGATATGAAAACATTGTAGAGACATCTAAAGAGCCCCTATAAGATTTTTTAGAAGAAAAATGACAACAATTACATTTTACATTTTCCTTTTTTAACGAATAACAAACTAGGACATCCATGGGAGAAAGCACCAGCCAACCCATTGAAGTAATTTCAGCACACTTTTGCTCCTCAAAGTTGAATCTTTTACATCTAATCTGTCTCCTGTAGGAATGAATAAAAATGGTTATGTCCAGTGCAGAAGTCAGCATGTGCCCACTGGTGTGTACTTTATACCGTGCTCCAAAGTTAACACAGAAAATGAAGAATGAATACACGTGAGTGAAACAAGGATGGGAAAACACCCTGTGATAGTTAACACAAAGGCAAAATCAACAGACTTTTGGTCCAAACTAGTGTCTTACTTTCTTTATGGAAGTGTTTTAAAGGCATGGGTATAAACGCACATACAAACAGCTTGCCTCTCCGTCAACACTCCCTTCCCTGCTTTTGCTCCTTCTTTTCAAGGGCTCAAGCTGCTGAGCCTTCAGCAACATAGGCTGTGGTGCCTAGTAAGTATTTTTAAATAAAGAAGGTCACATAATTCCCCTCGTCCCCCAAAAAATAAGTACAGAGAAGACTATGAAATGTAGTGAGGAAAAAAGCACATCATAAAAGACAAAAACATGATGTTCAAGTTTAGAGAAAAGCGGGTACATGACAGATCACAAATGGACAGATGAACTAGGCTTGAAGAGGGTGTCAAACCAGAGAGCCCGTGTGCCTGACACACCTGGGCATCTCTGAAGGACACTCTAGTTACAATTATGGTGAACACTTTCACAAAGTGGTAAGCTCTTCAAGGTCAGGGATGGTGGCTTATTTATATGTGTCCTTGGTTCTTAACCTTGCCTTCTTGCATGTGACAGACATGCAGAAAATATTTCTGGGAACCAGGGAGCTGAGCTAAATCCCCTCATTACTTCTAAAGCCATTGTGGGTGGTATCTACTCACCTAATTCATTCACTTGTCTGTCTAAGGCAGGGATGACAAATACTTCACCTCTCTGACGAGCTGGTAATGGAATCTGAGAGCTATTCCTGGCACAGAGGAAAGGTGTGCCACTCATTCATAATGCCACCTTGAAAGAATGATGACACGGATGTCATGTATGCCCCACCTCTGGCTAGGAGGAAGGCCCAACACTCAGCCACGTTACCTTTCTGCTGCTACACTAGCTCTCGAATGCTCTGCATCAATCCACTGCTCATTAAATGCTGGTTGACCAGGAAGGCCAAGGCCTTTCAATTCGATCAATCTGCACCACCGGACAAGTAGAGTCATGACTTGAACCTGGAAATCTGAAAACATGGCATCCACGATGCTCAATAAGTAATTGTTTACTGAAGGAGAACGAGCATTTCCTTGATTACTCCTTCTGTGGAGAAAGAGTGCATATATTCCACGTACCCCATCTCAGTAGGACTTTTGGTACTTAAGGCATTTGGAATTACTTGGGATTTTGGTTCAAAGAAATGGCAGAGTCCAACTCTTTGGTGTTCAGGCTTAATCTACTTGCTTTGTACTAGTATCCATAACCTTCACAGTACTTCATTGCTATGACTTACCTGACACTGCTGAAATAATCAAATCTTACAGGTTCATTAGAAAACCTTTCAAAGAACACTAAAGGGAGAGGCCTCTGACACTAGAGGCATAGAAAAGAAAATCAGAAAGAATGAAAGAACCAATAACCACATCCTGTCCCCCCGCCAACCCAAGCTGAAGACTCACTGTCTGCTGTCCAGACCATTCTAGGTAAACAGGGGGCTTCTGGCAGGGTGGCCACCACGGGGGTTCCTCCCAGAACTCCCCTCCCCATAGTGGAAGGTCAGCACCCCACAGAGGCATCCCAGAAAAGACAGACAACACATTCAGAGAAAGGGAGAAAACGGAGGGATAGTATTAAAGAGCAAAATCTTGGGGGATTAGGGAGGCTTTTCAAAGCAACATCGCTTTTAACATAGGCAGAGTCTTCACTATAACATGGGCACCGACAAGGGAACAGAGCTAGATGAAAACAGCCCTCCAAACGTCAACACAGCCGATGAGCAGAGCAGGGAGAACAACACCCCAAATCCACGACCTGCTCCTAGCACACCCTCCGCCTTGCCCGGAGCGACAAAACCTTCCCAGAAGCCTGTGTGTCTCAGGGAGAGCTACACTACGCCAGCACACACATGCACACACAGATACATGCACACACTGACACACGCACATCAAACCTGATTTATAAAAAGAGCTTTGTGCATTAGAACATATGCCATCACTTGGTCCAAGGATCTAGCTGATGGCAGTAGGAAAACAGACCCAAAGAATGTAATCAGGAGGAGAACTGGCTGGCAGGACTAATACTGCATTTTATACAATGTGGTTATTTACAAGCTATCTCCAATTGTTTGTACAGAACTACTTCAACTGGCTAGAATCTTCTGAATACATAAGGTTAAGACTTTAAAAAGTTAAGCTCTGTAGCAACAGAAGTTAATGCTACCTAAAATAAATTAGATTATTAAATATGTGTAATATTTAATAATGGAATACAGGTCACTAGAAATTCAATTCTATAATGAATACAAATGAATATAAACTTATTAAAGTACCATTCCCAGGAAGATTTCAGCTCAGAGTTGTTGTTTTTTTAAAGGCTATTTAAGAATAAATGGGCTTAGAAACCCTTGAATAGTGTTCCGAGTACTGATAAGATTAGTTGGTGCGAGATACAAAGATCTGTCTCCATATCCACAATAAAGGATTACCTCACTTTTCACTTAGTAGTATTCCTGAAAAGGTGTGCAAATAAAATTTTTACAGCCAGACCTCTATTCTAAATAGACACAGCCAGACTGTGTCTATTCTTAATACACGAGGAGACCATGGTTGTAAAGAGACCCAGTAGCGACTCCTTTGATGACTGGAAGAACTCTGTTAACTCCTCTCTTCTGTGTCTGCACCGTGAACGCGGACTGGAGGCACTCAGAGCGTGTCTGGTGATAGTGTGAATGTGCCACGACTGTCTGTCTGTCTGTCTGTGGAATTTTCCGAAAGTGAGGCACGCTGTAACCAGAGTGTGGGAACAGAAGGACAGAATCCAGCACACAGTTTAACTGATTCCATCACAAAAGATGAGAGAATTTCAGAAACTGTTTTTCCCATCAAAATATACTATCTGTAAGTATGTGTCCTATGTGTTTAAAGAAATGCTGATCTGTGATTGGCAGAAGCTTTTATCCACTGTGACCTGACGTACAGAAAACAAACACGTGGTTGAACGAGGACACATTTGATTTAACCACCAAGGCGAGTGGAGCTCCTTATCGAACTTCACAAACACCCCCCCACCCCGTGCCGTTCCACTTCCGTGGGGGCTTCCTGCCCTCTCTCCAGCACCAGCGTCTCACAGCTCCCCTCGCCGTACCCCGCAAAAGCGAAGCACGGATTACAGGGCTAACATTAAATTAGAAAGAGGCATGATCTAAATATAAGGTTATTTTTTCAAATCTTGAAAGAACTGATAAGTCAACTACATTCAGTAAAAGTAACTCTCAAAGGCAATTGTTTTTGTTATTTGGTATTTCTTTCCCTTCTCATGTGAATTTAAATTTAAGACTCAATTTATATATATACACACATATATATTTTTATATATGATATATATACATATGTCTATATCAACTATATAGACACATATACAAATTATATATATACATATATCTCTCCATCCTTTTAAACATGATATCCTCTTTTAAACAATACAGAATGCCTAGCAATGCAACTTATCTGACCACATAAATCTGCAATCTGCCACATAAGCGAAGGGAGTGATTATATCTGCCTATTTGCTCAGCATTCATAACTGCAAAAAAGACTGGAAAAGCAGCTGAGAATGTTTTTATCAAGTTTTGGGAGGACCGGATCCTCGCAAGGCTTCACTGCACGGCTGCGTCATCGCGCACTTCCTGGAAGGCAGCGTGCACACAAAGTATGTGACACAGAACCCTGTGTCCAGCACACCGGAAGCAAATGTGGGTATAACTGGGGGAGAGGTGGGGAGAACACAGTGTGAATATAAGTGTTTGTCAAGTAAATAATAAAAAAACTTTCACTTAAGGTATTCATGATATGTCAAGTGACCCAAGTAAAACAGATTTTAGAGCCATCTTCACCACCCGTGCCAGGTGCTGGCGTTGGCCCCTTACTAATAAGCAGACACAATGAAGATTCTTTGTGATGATCCGTTTTAGTCACCAGCCTAAAGGTATGATATCTGGATGAAAACGTGATCATGGATTTGTTCCCGTAATCTAAAAGCCAATAATTTAAAAAATAATAAAGTTGGTCTCTTCTCTCCACAAGTTTTCAAGTAATTAGTTCAAGTCAGCTTGTTTACAGCTATTGTATAGTGACCTACTTTTTAACCCACAGTTTCCCTTTAGAAATCAGTCTCCCTTGAAATGGGACACGCTTTTTTTGTGGATGATTTTTTTTTTTGTCTTGAACCAAGTGTCTTTTAAATACTAGGTTGGTTCAGTCACGTTTCCACTTTATTGGGCAGATAAAGAGAGGAAACTAGCAAGTTATGTCCGAAGGCTGGGAACCGCCTGAAGGCTTCCCAGCTGTCGGAGAAGATGTTGTACTTGAGGAAGACCCGGTGCTCCAGGCTGGTGGACAGGGTGACGTCCCTGCTCATGATGTAGATGCCATCGTTGTGGAGCGCGCACGTCAGGTTGAGGCCCGATTTGGACGTGTTCTCCTTGAGGTAGAGCCACTGCCGCGTGACCGTGTTGTAGGACTGCACGGCCAGCATGTCCTCGCTCTGGCTGCCCCTCCGGTTGGGCCCCAGTTCATGGAGACACCCGCCCACGATGTAGATGGTCTCCTCCACAGACACCATCTGCTGCTTGCGAATGTGCACGTCACACGTCTCAAAGAGCGTCCACACGTCGGAAGAGGGGCAGTACTGCAAAATGTTCATGTTCCGGTCTGAAACGAGAAGAGTGGCCGAGTGATGACATGGTCCTGAGCAACACCAAGCACGGCCCGCGCTGTGAGTAACCGTCTGCCTCCACCGCAATAACCTGCTCCCCAAAGGCAAAGCCCTTTCAGAAAAGCAGAGCTTGGGAAAGCAGTGCTTAGAGATGGCTGGGAGGAGACCCGTCTACAATTGCCCCCACTCACTTCACATTCACCCACGTCCCCTCCCTGGGAGGCTCTTGGAATCGGTAAGGCCAAGGAGATGAGCAGTTGTAACCTGGGCATGTCCCCCACCCCACCCCATCCCCACCTGACACCCTTACACCTTTTAGAACCACTGGACCAATCAATGAGAAGAAGCAGAGCCTCAGAAACCTCATCAACACCCCCAGAGCACTGCCTTCAGAGTGCAGATGACAGGCTGAGGCCCAAGAGCATCCACTCTTGACAACGGATTCTGCTAAACAAGACAAGTGAGCCAAGCAGGATTTTCAGGGCTGTCAGAAGAAAAGGACACAAAGTTGCAAGTCAGGAGAAATGCAAGTCTCACCTCCGGCCTTCAAGTCCCAGAATCACTGGGCAATTCTACTTCCCAACTGTGACAACAGAGGCACGCTGACAAAGGCCCTGCCTTCTCCCTGACCCATTTCACAGGAAACAGTTACTGTGTGGGTGAAATCAGACAGCAGATGCAAGACTGCTTGCTTGGACATTACTTTGAATGATTAGCTGTTGTAAGGGAAAATATCACCTACTGTCCTTTTGAAAAATGCTTGTGAAATTTAAAATATCTTTTCCACTTTTCTTTTTTTGTTTGTTTTTCTTTTCTCCTCTAGGAAAGAATAAATAGAATATTTTAGCTTCACAGGGAAATTTGCTGAGTTATCAGAAAGAATGAACTTTCTGTTTGCTGTTGTGTGTGTATGTGCGCATATGTTTAAGAAACGACAAAATCTATCTGTATAAGAGAGAACTCGGCTTGGGAACGGGTGGTGGCACACACAACTGAAGTGAGCAGCATCCTGACTGCTGCAGAAGCCGGGAGCACCGCTTCCTCCAGAGACAGCAGGGCCCCGCCACCGACAGCAGTGATTACAGAGCTCCACCCTGTGTCTCGTACCACACAGGTGCCTCCGAAGGGGGCACCGAGAGAACGCAAGGACACCAACCCTGTGTGTGCACAGGCCCCAACCTGTAGAAATTTTAGAATTGTTGTGGCTTCAGGGACTGTTCTCCTGTTTTTCACCCACACTGCTATCTCCCTATATTTCTTCTTATTGTAGCTATTGTGATAAAGCTCATCCTAGGAGACAGCCCAAAGGAGTTCAGTTGCTAATCTATCAGAAAATGCCCCTTAGGAACCTGGCTCCCTACCGCATGAATAAAGGGCTTATTCCAGCGAAGCTTCAGTGTGTTCCCCAGTCCCAGGTCTGGAGGTCCTTCCAGGCCTTCTGCAAATGTTTTCTCTCCTCGCTCAACGAGGGCTCAGACCATGGTGAGGTGGTTTGAGCTGGAGGAATGATCTTTTTGCCTTCACATTTACAGTGGATTCTGAAGTTTAACAAATTATCCTTCTTCCCGTTAGTGGTTACTATTACTTTCTACTGAATTTTTGCAAAACTCTTCAGAGTCTGCCAAGAATTATAATAATCAAATAGCTATCATAAAAAGCACGAACTACAACTTACTAAATTTTAAAAGTCTCACTTAAGAAGTCAGTAGCTAAGAACTCAATTTTAAGTCCTGAATCATTTTTCATGACAATTGTGATTTGTTTTAGGTACAAAGGACTATTAGGAAGTGCCAGGAAGAGCCTAAGCAGAGGAGAAGGGGGGCTTCAGAGTACAAGTAACTGTCCTGCCCTCTCGTCTTAGAAAACTCGTTTCCAACGCTTCCACAAACACCCATCCGTCCACATCACCTCACCATCCCGTCCAGGATATTTGGCTTGGGGAAACTGGGACGGGATTCTCAGTGGGTGGCCCAAGTCAAGAAGGTACGTTAGTAGTGGCTTTGGAAACTAGAAAACACACAAGCAAGGGTTTTCCAGGTCAAATCTAAAGAACATTCACTCGGCCAGGGTCATGGAAAAACCAGCGTGTCCAACAGCAGAGCACTCCGGGGTGCAGTGCTGCAGCTGGGGCCCGAGGCCCCTGCTCAGCCCCTGCGTACTAGAGGGGCTGAGAAGGACATGCGCACAGGCAACCCAAGGGGCTCCTCCAGAGCTACAGAGCCCAGCGGGGAGGCGCAATTCTTAACAATGTTCACAAGTGAGTGACTGTGTTCACGTTCCTGGGAGAAGAGACACACAGACGCTCGGGCACACGCTCACACACGGACTCTCTGGAGGCCACGTGTGTGACCTCTAGGTTCAGCTAGGCACATATAGCTGGCCCGTGAAGCCTGAACACCAGGGTTGAAGATGAACGAATGGAGTGCCAGGTCTCTGTTTTTCACTCATTTGTGAAGGGAAAGCTGGTAACCGTCTTCGGTGTGGGGTCACCAGGGAGGGGCACGGGAAGAGCTCACGAGTGGAGAAGACGTGGGTGAAAGAAAGCTCGCTGCTGCCCACGCACCCCTCCCCGGCGCTGCCTCTCCTTCACTGTGGAAGCACACCACACCCGGCAGCGAGCTAAATGGTGGCCCTCAAACAGGTGTGCCCACCTCCCCGTCCCAGAACCTTTCAGTGTGGCCTTATTTGGAGGAAGGGCCTTTTCAGATCATCCCGGATTCCCCGAGTGGGCTCTACACCCAGTGAGGAGTGTGTCTTCACAAGAGACGGAAGACGAACAGACACAGAGACACGGAGGAAAAGACACAAAGACAGAAGCAGAGATGAACATTATGCAGACACTGGCTGGAGCCACCTGAGCCACCAGAGCTGGAAGAGGCAGGAAAAGAGTCTCCCCTTGAGCCTTCGGGGGGGTGGGGGGAGGGCCTTTGACACCTTGACTTAGGACTTCTACTCTCCAGAACTACACGGGCCACCAAGTCCGTGGCCATTGGTTCAACCAGACACAGGGAACAGACACAACACCCGCCATCCTCCCCACCAAACCAGCCATTTACGGGGTCGTTGTCAGGAGAATTAATCAAAATCGTTTGCTGTCACAAAATCATTTGCTGAGTAAATCAGATGCTCATAAAACACCTTACATTTGACTTTTTCCTCTAACATAAATCCTTAAAACAAAACACGGTTGTGGTGAAAAGAATTTTTGTCGCTCAGGCCTATGTTAGCACACAGATTTTTGTCCTTTACAGAGTTACATACGGTCACTTACAGCTTACTGGGGCCATCCACATCCGTGCCCCAGGCCCGTTGCCAGTGGGATGGAGAGCTCTGCCCCACCCACATCGTGCCACAGAGGAGTGACAGGTCATTTCATCCTGTCAATACAGAGGTAACTTGACCACCTCACTGTGGCTGCAAGTCCTAAGAGTCCAATTACTCCTGCTCTCTAAGTGCTGGACATTGTTCAGTCAAGCCCAATGAAGAAGTAAGTTTCCTTGGTTAGGGGGTAACTGGGAAACAACTGCTTTCCGAGGGGGAGAGAGCGAAGGACAGGTGCCTCTCCTGGGTGGCCACCATCACCTGTCTCACTACAGGGAGCTGTTTTCTGTGAGAACAAGGGAGAGGCTTCCCACCCAGAACAGCAGAATAAAACCTGCCGGAGAAACGTTTTATCTGCACACTATGAACCGTAAAGTGCCCACCAAAAATGTGAAAAACACCCACATACACTGTAACAAACAGCACAGCTACCTCCCACCACTGGTCAGAAAAGAATCTTCCAACATCCCCTTCTCGCTCCTCCTGCGGTGCGTGAACACGAGCCTAGAGCTGAGCTTCCAGGATCTGCAGCTCACATGTTTGTGGTCCAGAGGGGAGGAAATGAACACAGAAACCTGCAAGGCTGTTTGGCATCTGAGCCCACAGCACTGGATGCGGAAGATTCAGGGTGTGTTTGGGAAAAGGACGGGAGTTACCCAGCCAAGTCACAAGATGACAGACTAAGGCTGGCTCTCCAGAGCAGAAAGAAAATCCACTGTTTTCTTCACAGCACCCCCTGGCCCATCTCGTCTCCATGCTCGCACAAAGGCATCAAAGGCCGCTCCTGTCCAAACCACCCTTGTCGACCAGGACTTGCTTCCTTTCCAATGTGTAAATATGCAGCAGGTGATGCACAGAAGCACACTCACGTACACTGGAGTGTTTTCTCTGGCACCTGCGCCCTTCCCCAGGCTGCCGAAGCTGACGTATTAGAGGACCACTTCCTGGGCCCAGGTCACTTACCTCTGGTCGTGTACCCTCCGATGACGTAAACTTTCCCCTTACACTCACAGGCGGAGAACTCGGCCAGAGGGTTTGGTAAGGGTGCCACAAAATTCCACGCATCCTGCTCGGGATTGTAACACTCAACATTAGAAACAGCCTGCCCGCCGATGGCATAGAGTTTTGAATTAACGGCCACAAGTTTGAAGTTAGATCTGAAAGACAGAAGACAGGGGCCCACAGAGTCAGTTCTTCTGATCATTAAGAAATGAGACGACGGCATGAACTACCAAAGTAGAGTGTGGAATCCACCGGGCCGCTGAAGAAAATTCACTGTCCACGTGGACAGCCATTCTGCCTGGTGACCAAGGAATGGCCAAATGACACCTCGAATTTCCCTCTTGTCCCCAAAAGTCCACAGGAAGGTTGCAGTCTCCAAACGTTAGCAGTCGAAGATAAGCAATTCACTTGAACAAGGCTGATCGTTCTCAGCCTCACCACAGAACCAAGGACACTCTGCATGCACTGAACTCAGTACCTTCTTTTCAGGAGCCAGACCAGGTGGTGAGGGAGGAAAGCTCCCGTGCCCCTCCAAGTCTCTCTCTGCTTAGAATGTTCAGCTCGTTCTTCCTCCCGTGCGGGTAAGCTCCATCCTAGGTACACGCCAGCACTGCTTACACAGACAGGCACATGCAAAGCATGGTGCTAAAAGGTGGATCAGCGCTGCCTGGTGTGGCCCAGTTAGTTGGGCATCGCCTCGTGAAACAAAAGTTTGCCAATTTGATTCCCAGTCAGGACACATGCCTGGACTGTGAGTTCAGTCCCCAGAATGGGCGTATGTGGGGGAGAGGTAACCAAGCAATGTTTCTATTTCCCATCAATGTTTCTCTCCCTCTCTTTCTCTCCCTCTTCCCCTTCCTAAAAATGAACAAATAAAATATTTTAATTAATTATTTATTTATTTTAATTAAAATGTTTAATTAAAATATTTAATATTTATTAAATATTAATGAATAATTAATTGATTGATTGATTAATTAAAGATAGTTCAAAGCCTCCATCACCAAGCGCACACCCAAAGAGATCACTGCTCCCCCTTCCTCCAGAGGAGGGCATCTTCTATGGTGCTTTGTAACAGGCGAGGTGGGGAGATAAGCACTGAACCAGTTAAACATATTTTGATCAAGCATTCTTGGGGTGTTTACACGTTAACTCAACAAACACTTATATCAACAAGTGCTCACCTATTGTAATATTAAATAATTTAAGAAAAAAGAGAAATACACTGGTTTCAAGCCCCATACTTAATAACAGAATTAAACGCTGCTCACAGGCTTCAGACACTGGATAAAAGCCTCGTGACCTTTGAATTGATAAGTAAGGTAACATTACTTTCACTGTAGCACGCCGGGATTAATGAGCTCATCGGAGGCCAGGAGGAACAAACATTTGGAAGTGCTGGGTCAGTCTACTGTGGTATGCCCAAGGGTCTCAGTTTACAATAGTAAGAGCATCCGTAGGAAGCAACAGATAGACCAGGACACAAATCAGGACGCCTGGTGTGAGTCCCAGCTCTGGCGGTACCCAGCCACTTCCCTTCCTCTTCTCTCGCAGGGGTAACGCCCCGCACAGGGCGGTCGGCACACAGCACACAGTGTATCAGACCGTACCACACAGAGATAAGATATTAACACTCCAATTCTCCATTTCCGAGTGCCTGAAATAAAGTGGGCCAGACCAGGTGAATTTAGAGGCACGTCTCATGCCAACACAACGAGTTCTTCAAAAGTAACAACATCCGGGGAGAGAAAGGGGAGAGTGGCTACAGGTAGAAAAGGTAGGTAAGAGGGTGGACAAAGAAGCCATGGTGCGCCGGTAATCCACCCTTGATCTCCTAAAAGGTGTTCAAAAAACACTAATGCATCACGAGTCAGATTTTTAAAGGTGCTTGTACTGTTTATAGTTCAGTAAGCTTTAGTTTAGTTTTTTTTTCAAATCAGAGAGTGAATAGAGTACTCTTCATCAAGAAGCCCATATTGTCCATTAAACCCAGCCAACCATTCAAATTTTCATGCCAACAGACCTCACAGAGGTGGCAATTACTGGGGGGTCCCTGGTCAGGCTGCTTACCTCTCCTGCTGCTAATGGTCCTTAAAACCTGACCAGGATGCCCTCTCTATGTGCGCAAATTTGGGGAACCAAAGGAAATAAAGCTTGTAAATAAGCACTAAGTTTTACCAGCCCACAATTTGTTTTTGCTTCCCGTAGGTACACAGATAGTACATTTTCTCAGATCAAAACAGTTTTTAGTATTTATCCAGCATCATCATTTGCCCTGAGCAAAGATGGAAGGGGCTTCTTTTTGAGGCTGAATAGGCAGTTAAAAGTAAATGCCATCTCTCCAGACTCCAACATGCTCAAATTCACTTGAAGAGAAGGGAAACATTTTTTTCAACAGTGAATTTGTTTTAAGGCAAAATTGCCACCCAAAAACAGACCACTTAATGAAGAGGCATACTGCTAGGGATGATGAGCCCAGGTTTGTACAGGGAAATCTCAGCTCCATTGCCCAACAGCTACGGGACCTTGGACAAGCCACTGAAGGTCAGGTTTTCTGAGCCTCACCGTGCCCACCTGTGAGGTGGGGCTAAGAAGAGAGCACAGTCTCATAGGTAGTAAGAGTTAAAAAGGGTAGCACTTGCGGAAACAGGTCACTTAGAAGGAATGCTCTTCTGCACACCACGAGCCTAAGTTTCTCAGCTTCAGGAGGGTCGGGTTCTCGTTTGTCCACTGCAACTGCGTTTGCTACTGGCCACAGAGTACTCTGGGATTCTGCACAAAGTGCTCCCTCATCCACAAATACCTGCCGCTCTCCACCCCATTTCCAACTTTCAAAAATAATTCTTCCACTTTTCATTTCTTGAATGGTAATGGTATGAATTCAAGCTATCAATGTTTTTAAAATTATGATCTCTGCAGTGTTTTTCTTAATATCGATTCCTGATATTATACATTTGGGAGGCAAAAAGAATTTTTAAAACCAGATACTCTGTTGTAGCTACACACTTGACTTATACACAGAAATGAAAATGAACAAAATTAAACAATTTAATTTCTACTTCCCTTAGAATAAATAAAAAGCTCTTTAACTCCTTAAAAGCTATGTAACCTAAACCATGACAAACAGCAGTGTGCAATTATCAGTGGTTAACAACACCTGGAGGCAACGGGGCCCCAGGTCCGAGCAGCACAGGGCACTGGCCCTGTGACTAAATGTGAGTTCATTAAACTCGGGGAACCTCAGTCTCCCCTTCAGGGGAATGGGACCAATAATCATATCTGCCTCACAGCGAGGCTGTGAGCATGAAAGGGGAAGTGACAACTTACAGTAGCGGCCACAATGTGCTGCCCAGAGCGAGAGCTCCAGAAACGTAAACCACGGCTGTGCATTTCTCCATAGAAAGGCTCGTTATTGTTACAGTAAGAATGGGAGAGAAATGGCCAGACCCTCACTCCGGTCCTTCCTCAGCCACGCAGTCTGCGGGCACCCAGGTCCCTCTGTCTCCGTTTTCCCTTCTGCTGCCTACTTGCGGCCACTTCCCTACTATTAGCCTCCCCCAGGGACCAGGAAGAGGGGAGAAGTTAAGAAACAAGTAGTCACCATCTCTGAGAAACTCCAGAGCACAAAGCAATTTAAGCCATTCGCCAAAATTATGTTGGGGGCGGGGGAGTGAACAAACGCGTAGATTTCTTCCTTTCACACCACTCCCGGCTGCACTGCACCACTAACCATGGGGTACTGTCTCTTGATGGTTCCATGTCTCCAGAAAATGCTCTAAAAAGGACAGGGGACTGGTAAGTCTGACAACTCTAACGCCATCTCTGCCAGGAAACTGTTGTTTCTTCAGTCCCTCTCCCAGCCTCACTGTATTCACGGCAGAAAAGGAGGACACATCCAACTCCAATTTCAGAGCGAAAGTGCAGGGCAATGGGAGGGGCTAGAGGCAACGTCAGAAATAGAGGACTTAATGAACTAACTCTGGCCACAAGGGCCAGTTTCTGCAAGTTATCCCTAATTAAAGTGAGCAGGAAAAGCAGGTGACTTTGTGGGCACACAAGAGCTTTTACGTGTGAAGAGTTATGTCCCAATGGCCCCTGAGATCACATCCACGTACAGACCACTTGGCAGTGCTGCACACCTGAACTTGGATGCAGCCTCTCAAAGAGTAATAGGTGCTCACTGCCATTTTCAAGTGCATGGGCACAGCACCGCTCATTTCTTTTTTATCCACTGCTGGTCACACAGCACCCTGTTCTCCAGGGTGCACAGGGTGTATAAAGGCTCCTAATCCTAGGGCTCTTGCCAGCCCCTTGCTAATTAAGATTCTGGGATCGTGACACTGTTCAGTGCCTGGGGGGAAGTAAGCCGCTCTGCACTTGACCCCTTTGTCAACATAGAACAGTACATACACAGCCCAAGAGCAGTGAATCAAAGTGGATGTGATATGCCATGTGAAACGTGCCATTCTGACTTAAGCTTCTAAGTTTCCTCCAGGGCTCCCAGAGCTCGTGTTGGATGCATTAGCCAGAAACAGCTAGGTTTCATTTTTACTGGTCTCATCACGTAAACTCAATTTCAAATTCCTGTGGGCAGAAACCATGTCATCTTTGTTGTTTGTCCAATGGTGACGAGAAAAATGCTGGATATAAAGGCTGTAGTGAAGCTGTCCACACGTGATAAAATTTTGAGAGCAGTGCAGTACCATAAAATATCTGTGCTCCATTTCTTGGAAGAAGATAATTTTTACAAGGAAAACTTAAACATCTGCATGAAGATGGTCACAGCTGGTTTATAAGCCATAACTTGTAAATAATCTAAATAGTTATACATATCCAATAGATATTTACATTTTGGCTACTAAACTTAGTTCACACCTTGAGCAATCTATTTAACTTTCCATGCCTCGGTTTCTGCTTCTATGAAGTGGGAACTTGCCTGAGATAGCCCTTGAGAAGAGTAAGTGGAAAAAATACATGCAAAGTGGTAGGAACAGTAACTAGTACAGGCTAAGTTTTCAATTAAATGTTACATATTATTTTTCAGTGATTCTAAATAACTATAATGATGTAAGATTAGAATGTTCACTATAATGTTATATTTTAAAGCAATATACAATTATACATTGGCTTTTATTATAATAACATAAAAATATATGTCACAATTCAACGAACCATGCATTCCAAGCATCTACTTTTTTTTTTTGGATAACATCTTTGCAATAGGAATATGTAAGCACTGAGTAAGTAACTGGACCTGCCCTCGCCGGGTGGCTCAGTTGGTTGCAGCATCGTCCCATACACCAAAAGGTTGTGGATTTGATTGCCGGTCAGGGCACATACCCAGGTTGAAAGTTCAATCCCCAGTAAGGGCACATGTGGGAGGCAGGTGATCGATGTTTCTCTCTTATGTCAATGTCTCCCTCTCTCTCCCCCAGCTCTAACATCGATAAACATATTCTTGAGTGAGGACTTTTTAAAAAATAGCCTCTTCCATAAATAAATAAACCCAGGTAGAAGGGAGAGAGACACATATGAACAAAACATTTCAGTTAAAGCTGGAAGTCTGCAAGAGGAACACAGCTGAGGGCTCAGGAAGGGACTCCTGGTGCAGGCATATCGGATCTGCACCAAAGGATGAGGGAGACAAAGAAGGGTGCAGCCTCCAATACGGCATCAACAACCAACTGGAAAATATAATGGAAAATGTATCTGTGTAGGAAAAAATAAATAACTAGAAAATATCTAAGATTGATCCTAACCAAAAAATATACAGACATGAAAAGATAATAATATTTTAAAAAGAAGAAAAAACCCTTCCTGGAGGACCAAAAGACCTAGAAAAACAAACCATTTTTCAAGCTATAAAGTATTATAAAACTGTGAATAGTCCTCCAAATTAATCTATCAACATTACATAATCCTAATCGAAATCCCAATAGAACTTGACAAGCTGATTTTAAAGCCTAACTGAAGGAGATGTACAAAAAGTAGCCAAGGGAATTAAAGTAAACAAAGCAGAACAAAGAGGTCTTTGTTCTACCAGACAATAAATAAAATAGTTTATAGTTTTCTATATGGAAAAAGGCATACTGGTTATGATTATTACATTAGTCTTATTAACTCTAAAGAATGTCACTCACAACTGGAAACCTATTTTTGCCCACCCCATAGATTACCAAGCTACCATAATTCAAAAATGTGTTTTTGATACAAGAAAGGCCAATCTGCCAATTTGAAAAGAGGAAAATTTGCATATAATAACTGGTTTTGCAAATCACAGCGAGAAGGACTGAGGCTCCTGGGACATTTAGAAAACATGTTATATAACCTCTCACTATACCTTAAATGAAAATAAATCCCAAAAAGATTCAGATCTAAATGTAGAAAGACAAAATCATACAGTAGATCACTAGATAGATGAGTATTTATATATTTTTAGCTTGTACAATTCTTTCCTTTGTGAGATAAAAAGCTCATAGAACATATAACAAATTTGAATACAAAAAATTTTTTAATATCTTCACATAAGAATACACTATAACCTGCATTCCAAAAACTGGAGGCTCACAAGGCCAGTGCTGGCCTGTACTTTGTTAGGTCTGCAAAGCTTTTATTTTTTTTGTTGGTTTATTTGTTTTTAAATGGCGTAAGCTGCCAACATTTAAAAAGTCAGGATATATAAATGTCTGGCAACACCATTTCTCACTTCCACTTGGCAATAACCAGCTGTGGCTGAACGGTGGAGCCCTCTTGTGGTGGGGCAGTAGCTCTCCGGTTCATCTTTATGCCCACTCTACTGTCCCTGGTCACTTTAAGCATTTTTGAACCTTATGATAAAATAAAGGCAAGGAAAACATGTGCAACATTACCTAAAAGACAAGAGACTAATACTCATATACATAACTTACAAAATAAATATGATTTTTAGGAAATTGGCAAAGATTACTTATAAAAGTATACAAATGGCTGATAATCACATGAAAAGAATAATATATTCACACAAGTCACCTATCCAGGGATTCCAGGAACTTGCCATGTAAAACTAACTCACATATGCCTAGTAAGGTATATACACATATAAGAAGATGTTCAATACAGTGTTGTTTATAATGGCAATGGAAGCATTCCAAATGTTCACATATAAGGAAAGGGCTAATTAAATTATGGTATATCCATGGGCTGGAATACTATGTAGCCATTAGCAAGAGTGAGGTAGATCTATGTTTGTTGACACAGAAAAGAGCCATCAGATACAGGCAGGTTAAGTGGGAATAACAAGTGCTATAATAATCAGCATAACTGCATTTGAGTAAAAATAGACATGTATAAGTTACATATACACCCCACACGTGCATCAATCATATATAATATATGAGTACATTTACTTTATAGTTTTTCATGCCATTTGCAATTTTTCTAAACATGTATTCTGGCATTACTTTTCTTCTCAAAGGGGACAGAAAAGGTATTCCTAGCGGGCAAAGAAAGACGACCAAGTGTCTGTCAGGACAGAAAAGAGAGGCACGGTGTGAGCGTTGTGGAGCTCCGTTGTGGAGCTCCGGGAGGCAAGCCGAGCTCCAGCTGAAAGAGCTGGAGACTCAGGAGTGGAGGCGACGGACCGCCTGCTGGGCCTTCCACCCCGAATCTGGGCACCACTCACAACCGCTGAATGTTTCCTTGTTGCTTCAATAAAGCTCCTAGAATCTGTTTAAAAATAATGCTTCTGATATCAAAGTTTAAATATGACATCATCTCAATGGTGTAAGTAATGCACTAGAATGGGGCTGAAAGACAGTGTGTGAACCTGCAGATGGTTATTGCCACCCGGAAGGAGGAAGTAGGAGGGGCAGCCTTTCTGCTCCTTCATTCTTTTCCATTTTCCCAGTTTTCTAGAATAACTACAAATTATTTTTAACCATCAGAAAAGACGGAACGCTTACCAAAATAAATTTCCCATTACAGTAGAAATAAAGCTAGTGTTCCCCCAGGCTGGGAGCCCTTCAAGTGAAGCAAATCTGTGTGATGACTCCTTCGGCCCTGCTCAGACTTTCTTTGACCCAGGCGGCAAGTCGCCGACTCCCGCTCCATACTTCAGGGCGGGAGGCGCGGTGGGGCTGAAGATGGACACAGGCGGGCTAGGAGAAAGGCTACTCTTGCCCTTCCTTGGATTACGTTGATTCTTCTCCCCACTTCTGAATGGCTGTGGGGCCATCTTGGTCCCTATGGTCTTTATTTCCTACCACCTCCTTCTGTTATCTGCCTTGCTCTCGTTTTCCCACTCCTTCCCCCACTCCTTTCCCTAACTCTGCCCCCCACAGCTCCTTTTCTCCTCCTTTCCTCAAGTCACCCAAGTGCACATCGGAAGGGTTTTGAATGATGGGACGGGAGAAAGCTGAGGTGGGCGGTAAAATCCCAACAGTGTAGGTAACCACTTCAGGCTCAAGCTTTGTGTGGATAACAGACTGTCTGGGAGGAAGTGAGACGCAGAAGAGAGGGAAAGACTAAGGAAGGCAATCCTGTACAGGTAGTGTTAACACGACCCTCAAGATTATCTCCTGATAGCAGATTGGCGCCTCAGGGTGGAAGCCTTCTGCACTAACAACACCCCAAAGTCCCCCAAAGTCATTGTTACAGGTCACTGACCTGTGGGCCATCACTATCAGGATCAGAGCGTTAACGTTTTTTAAAAAGTAAAAATCAAAGCAAAACTAAAGAACGGCTGTAAGCAACCTAGGAAACCACAATGTTTTCCCTCCACTGGGATAAAGGCAAAGAGAGCAGTTTGCCTAAAGACACAATACCTGCAAGGAAACTACTCAGCTGGTTGACCTCACTGGGGCGACTTCTTCCTTGAAAGTCCTTAGTTCCTTGGGAACTTTGCCAGGGTCCAGGCCAACCACAGTCCCACAGATGCCATTTCCACCTCAGCACAACCTCATGGGAATGCTCACTAAACACGAGGGGAAGGAATTCTGAATCAAGCGCAAGAATGGGAAAGCAGCAGCTCTCTGCTGGGTGCTTACCTCTTCTGGTTCATGGAGGCCACCTGGAGCCACTCGTTGGTGCTGGGGTTGTAGGAATGCGCCGCGGAGATCTCCTGGCTCGTGATCCTGTACCCGCCCACTATGAAGAGGTAGTTGTCCAGGATGGCAGACCCATAACCCCTGACATTCACCAGGTCGGGGGGAAGGTTGTTGGCCAGCGGAAACCAACGTTCAGTCATCTCCTCATACCTGAGCATGGACGGGGGCTCCCCCTGATAGGGGTGAGGGGCCAAGGGTCCCCCCAAGAAATCCCCCAGGGCCACGAGGACAGGAGTTCCAGTCATCCGGGCCTCCCTCAGCCTCTGTTTCAGGCTGACATCCCCCGGGGCTTGAGCAGGAGACCCCACCAGGAGGTGGAACTGGGGCTTGCACAACACCTCGTGAAAGTGGACGACCATGAAGCGCAGGCAGGCCTCCTGCAGGTCCGGCAGCCCGTACACCTGCGCCAGGCGGTACAGCTCCAGGCAGTTGGTGAGCCGCACCTGGGACAGCAGCAGCTGCAGCAGGGACGTGACCTGCAGGAAGGAGGCCGCTTCCACCAGCTCGGACAGCAGGCTCACCTCGTCCATCTCCTCCTCCTCGGCCGCACCCCCGCCCTTCTCTCCCCGCGGGCCCAGCAGCCAGCCCTCGCGGGCCCCGCCGGCGTTGATGAAGTCCAGCACCAGGCGCAGGCCCGGCGCGCTGAGGCCGCGCAGCTGCTGCACCTCGGGGCCGCCGGCCTCCTGGCCACGGGCCTCGCGCATGCCGGAGCGGTAGAGGGCGCGGAAGTAGTCGCTCTGCTCGATGAGCTTCCTCTTGCTCACCGGGTAGCAGCGGTCCTCCAGGCGGATCTGCACCATCTCCTCGGCCGACATGGCTGGGGGGCCGGGGGCCGCGGGGCCGCCCGCCAGCTCGGCGCGCTTGCCTCCCCGCCCGCGCGCTCGCCGGGTTCCGGGTGGGGCGCCCGCGGGCGGAGACCGGGCAAGGCCGCCCGCTCTCTCCCACGCTCCTCCGGCCTATCTGGGTCGCAGCGGCGCCCCCGAGGCAGCCCCTCCTCCCGGCCCGGGCGCCCCTGCCCTCTGGTCCCGCTCGGCGCCAAACAAGGGCCGCCTGCGCGCCGGGCGTGGGGAGGCGGCCGCCGTGCTTGCGCCGGCAGTCCCGGGCCGCGTCAGCCGGGAGGGTGTCCCAGCCCCCAGCCTACAGCCTCCTCCCACGCCCCGCTTCGCACTTCCGCCCGCAGGACCCCTGCGGCCGGCGGGGCCCGCGGGCTGGCCCCGGCTTCCCGGGCTGCGGGCGCTGGGTGGGGGCAGGGGGCCGGAAGGCGCGGCCCGCAGCCTCCCCTGCAGGCGGGGCGCGGGGACTGGAGCGGGGACTCTGCAGCCGGCGGGGGTCGGCGCGGTGCCCGTGTTGGGGGGGCGGGAACGGGAGGCGGGAGGCGAGCTGCAGCCGGTTTGCCGTTTCTCCCGCGCTGCTGTACGAGGGCGTGGGGAGAGGGAAAAAGCAAAAGAAACGGGCGAGGGAGGAAAGGGATGAAGTGGAGTCCGGGGAGGCACAAAAGCACCACATCTGGGCTCACACGTCTGGCCCAGTCCGCTTCGTGTTCCGGGTGGGGGGCTGCGGCTCCCTGGCCGTCTCTACTCCAGTGGATGACACCTAGAGCCGAGTCCGGCAGGTCGCTGCGTGGGAGCCATCTTACGGAAAGTCCAGCCAGTTGGCCGCAGGTTCTGCGGGGCTCGGAGCGTGGGGTGCACCGGATAAAAAGGATGGGGAAGCTGGGGAGCTTGGATTTGCTGCGATGGGCCGTTATCCAATTTGTGCTATTAAAAGAAAAGTACAATTCAACTGAAGATAGATCTCGTGCCTTCTTTTAAAAATATTTTCTAACAAATGGGAAAGCCATTGCTTTCCCTATTTCGGCTTAGTTGGGCTGACCATTAGGAAATGTTATTTTTGGGCATAAGGGCTGGTCACTTCTGCTCATATTTGGCCACAGAAGTGGCTTTCCTTGCCACCCTCTAATCCTCCCCCCGCCCTTCCACCCCACTCTGCAGACTACTTAGGGAAGGACTACTTCTTCCCTATCTTCTCGCGTATTGCAAATACAAAGCTCAACCCAAATAATAGGTAGGAACTTGCGTTGCCACGAGGGATGAATTAATCCTGGGGAGGGGTAGGATTGAGTGGGAGCAGAGGGTGTGTTCACTCTTGTCGTACCAAAAAAAAAAAATATCCTTGAAAACTTTCCTGTACCAAGATTTGAGAACCAATCATAACAGTCCTTACCTTGGAGAGAATATGTGTTTGGACTTTGTTTTCATTGTTACAAGCTTCAGCTTTCTTCTTAAATGACAAGTTATTAAATAACACCTTCTTCATAACTACCTCTCCCCTATTTCAAACAGGATAAACTTCAGGTGATTAACATTTTATCTTCAGGTGGGGGGAGCTAACCAGAGAAGAAAGTCATATATGCAAAACAAATTCTTCCAACACGTTGTTTGGTTATATTTGTGCCTCTTTTTATGTAAGTGAACTGCTTCATAGTAAAAGTAACGCCATCCATTATTTTCTTTATAATACACCATGAATAAGGAAGTAAAATTTTTAAAGACATAGACAAAAATTCTAGTAGATTCTGGGCCCCTGGGAAAAGTGAAAGAAGTAAAGGTGAATTTATGACTTCCCTGTTTCAGTTTTCTTGGATTCCGTGAAAAACTTCTAGCCTTTCAGCTTGTTTTACCTGGCCTTTATCATCACTGATAAAACTTCATTCACACATGGACCTCTCCCACTTGTCCTCATTGAGGGTGCAGCTGAGACATCCTCAGGTCCTTTGGGGGTGAGTGACCAGGAATTTAGCAGCCCCTTTGGGAAGACAAGGTGCCATGTCCAGTGTTAGGCATTTAGGTGGGGAACTTGTGCCGAGAGGTGCCCCCTGATTCAAAGTGACCTGGACCTGGGGTGTATTTGTGCCTCCATCAGTGACAATGCCAGACTCAGTGGGTCAGACAAGAACAGGCTCTTAGTCTCTCCTCGGTCCCTTTAGAATCTTTCACCAATAGATGCTTTTGTTTCCTTACTGTCATAGATATGCCTCAGACTGGTATTTGCTTGCCTTTTAAAAACAGAGCAAAAAAAAAAAATCACGCTGAAAGAATGATGTGCTTTAGAAAAGCAATTCCCACACAGTAATATTATCAGAGCAAGATCAACTCCAACAGGGAGTCTGGGGTATTAGTTTGACAATCCTGGGCACCGATCCTGTACGCTTTTTGGCCCTGACATGATAACATCATCAGGATTAGAAGCATCTTAGAAGATGAAGGTCATTTTAAAAACACGCAGTAAGCTTTCAGTTCTACTAGAAAAGCAATATAAATTATTTTATTTACAAAAGGCCTAAAATATTATTTCTATCTAAGCTTCACGAAAACATTGCTTGTGTGCAACTGGAGGTATAATATTATAGATCTGTTCTTGGCTGATCATTGCAATAAAGACTGGCCTTTGTGGTAAATGTGATTAACTTCAAGCACTTGACATCATGATCTGTTTTACAGAAGACTAAAATAAGGGCCAAACACAGAGGTAAGCTATTTCTTTAAGAATTTGTGGGAAATAGCCCTGACTGCTGTAGCTCAGTTGATTGGAGCATCGTACCGGGTGGGGGTTTGATTCCCCATCAGGGCACATGCCTAGGCTGCTGTTTCTATCCCTGGTCAGGGTGCGTATGGGAGGCAACCAATCAATGTTTCTCTCTCACATCTCTCTCTCAAAGCAATAAACATATTTTTAAATAAAAAAAGAATTATGGAAAATACACCTTTTTTCCTAGAATGGAAAAAATCTAAGTACAAAGTAGTTATCTTAGTGTTGCTTTTAATAATAAAAAATTGGAAAACAGTGTATAATAAGAGCAGCTAACATTCACTGAATGCTATAATGTTCATTATATGCCACACACTGCTAGGCTTTACATGGACTACCATACTGATTACAGTACTGTTTTTATATACAGCTGAGGAAGCTGAGGTGCAGATTAAATTTTTATGCATATGGAAAATGAAATACCATAGAACCATCACAACTTTCGATGCAGAGTCCAAACACACACACACACACACACACACACACACAGAGTCTCTAAAGAAATCCTTTAATCCTGTATTATATATTCTGATTAAAAAACATGTTCTAGAACAGCATGAATCCATTTATGTGAAACTGTGTACATATATCTGTTGTTTACAGATGTCTAGAAGGATGTTTACCAAAATGTTAAGATTATAACATCTTGAATAGGGGTTTTTTTTTGTACTTTTCTACATGGTTTGAATCTTGCAAATGAACATACATCAATTTAATAAAAGCAAAACAATTTAAAAAACTAATGACATTTAAGTTGCTTAGATTCTATTTCTTTAAAATAATTTATATCAGTTTTATCAAGTGATAAAATTAAAATGTTAAGTAAAGATACAGTTAGCAGCTTTAAAATAAAGATGAAATATTGACTGTTTTGGACTTCCGGCCAAGATGGAGGCATAGGTAGTTGCACTGTGCCTCCTCGCGCAACCAAAACTAAGGACAACAAGAATTTAGAAACAAAAAAACAACCAGAACTGAGAGAAATTAACCGAACGGAAATCTGACAACCATTCAGCCAGACCAGTAAGGAGGGGCGGAGTCGGAGGCCTAAGGAGAGATGTCGAGGGGTCCTGGCAGGAAAAAGCAATGGCTGGCAGATGCCGGCGCACAGGACACAGACGGCAGTTGGCGGACCCCAGAAGCGCAGGGGCAGCTGACAGACCAGTGGCAGACCCTGGGCGTGGGAGGCAACGAGCAGACCCAGTGAGGTGAGCAAGGCAGCTGGATGTCCACAGCCACACATTCTCGCACAGACAAACTAAGCGAAAATGGGCAGCAACAGAGACTGCGCAACCCAGGGACCCAGTCCCGGGAAACAAAGCCTAAAGGCACCGACTGAAAACACCTGTGCAAGTTGAGGCCAGGAGATTCTCTCAGCCTCACAGGAGGCTCCTTGGGGGAAACCCACAGAGTCCGAGAAAGTGCACAAGCCCACTCACCCAGGGGCCAGCACCAGAAGGGCCCAATCTGCTTGTGGGAAGCGGCAAAGGGGACTCAAGTCCTAGAGAGAGTAGAGCAGGCTCCATTGTTCCCTCTCAGACTCCGCCTCCACATACAACGTCACACCCCAGTGACTGAGGTGCCCCACCCTGGTGAACACCTAAGGCTCCGCCCCTCATACGTAACAGGCGCGACCAGCCCAAGGAAAAAAAATAAAAATAAAATTAAAAAGATGGCTAAACCAGAATTAAAAGCCCCAGAGCCAGTTTTTTTTTAAGTGACCAAGAGATAGCCACCCTATCAGATGTACAGTTCAAAGCACTGGTGATCAGGATGCTCACAGAATTGGTTGACTTTGGTCATAAATTAGATGAACAAATGCAGGCTACAATAAGAGAAATTAAGGAAAATGCACAGGGAACGAATACTGATAGAAAGAAAACTGAGTTTCAAATCAATGAAAGGGACCAGAAGGAAGAAAGGAACAACCAAACAGAAAAGAATAAAGAAACAAGAATTCAAAAAAATGAGGAGAGGCTTAGGAATTCCAGGACATCTTTAACGTTCCAACATCTGAATTATAGGGGTACCAGAAGGGGAAGAGGAAAAACAGCAAGTGGAAAAATTATTTGAACAAATAATAAAGGAGAACTTCCCCAATCTGGCAAGGGAAATAGACTTCCAGGAAGTCCAGGAAGCTCAGAGAGTCCCAAAGAGGTTGGACCCAAGGAGGAACACACCAAGGCACATCACAATTACATTAGCCCAAGGTAAAAATGAAGGAGAGAATCCTAGAAGCAGCAAGAGATAAGGAGACAGTTACCTACAAAGGAGTTCCCATCAGACTGTCAGCTGATTTCTCAAAAGAGACCTTGCAGACAAGAAGGGGCTGGAAAGAAGTATTCCAAGTCATGAAAAGCAAGGACCTAAATCCAAGAATGCTCTATCCAGCAAAGCTTTCATTTAGAATGGAAGGGGAGATAAAGTGCTTCTCAGATAAGGCCAAGTTAAAGGAGTTCATTATCACCAAGCCCTTATTATATGAAATGTTAAAGGGACTTATCTAAGAAAAAGAAGATAAAAAATATGAACAGTAAAAAAAGACATCAAACTCACAGTTAGTTACAACCATACCTAAAACAAAAGCAAACTAAGCAAACAAATAGAACAGAAACAGAACCACAGAAATGGAGATCAAATGGAGGGTTAGCAACAGGGAAGTGGGAGGAGGAGAGAGGGGGAAAATATATAGAGAATAAGTAGCATAGACAATAGGTAGAAAATAGACAGGGGGAGGGGAAGAATAGTATAGGAAATATAGAAGCTAAAGAACTTATGACACATGGACATGATATAAAGGGGGGAATGTGGGTGGGAGAGGGTTTGCAGGGTGGAAGGGAGTGAAGAGGGGAAAATGGGACAACTGTAATAGCATAATCAATAAAATATATTTTAAAAAATAAAGAAATATTGACTGTTTTTTAAGTGTCTTTTTTTTTTTTAAGAGGGGAAGGGAAGGAGAAAGAGAGGGAGAGAAACATCAGTGTGTGGTTGCCTCTTCTGCACCCCCTACTGGGTACTTTGCTAGCAGCTCAGGCATGTGCCCTGACTGGGAATCAAACCAGCGACCCTTTGGTTTGCAGACCCTCACTCAGTACACCAGCCAGGGCCAAATGTCTTTTGAATTTAGTAAACCTATGCTATTATTTTACTACCACTTAAAAATAATCTTTATTTTTTTAGTCCCTCCAATATTCCTAAAATGTTTTTTTCTTTTTTTTAACAAGTAAAACCAAATTTTCTATTAAAGTCTATAGGGCAATTTAAATGAGTTAAAAGTAGCATGGTTCATTAAGTGTCTCTATTTAAATCAGGTTGAGCATCTACACCTCTGGCAAAGCTTCCATTCAGTCACCTATGTCAATGTTTTTCAAACATCTTAGGAGATCACCTGGAGCAACTACTTACACAAATAAGAAACCTGCTTCCCACAACAGAGCTACTGAATCAGGCTCTTGGGAAAGATGAGTGGCTTTTAAGGTAGAAATCTGATTTTTGAACCCCTGTCAAAAGTGCCCACTGGAAATTAAGTACGATATACTACTGCATTGCAAATAGTGCAGTGATTCTGGGTGTTTGATGTAATTTGTACAAAAGCTGTTTGGCCTGTTATGTAGAGTTGATGTTGCTTTCTGGTTTCTGCAACTTCATCTCACAGGGACAAGTTCCGAGCCTGGATGTTTCTGGGCCCCACACCTCAGCCCTGCAGCCCTTGGTGCATCTCCCCTTTTTCAAAATACTTGGCTTTCTGAAGCTACTCATTTCCAGACTCAATGTTTATGCAATTATCAAATTGATTTTAAGATTTTAAAGCATGCTTTCACATTGGAATTTGTAGATCTTTAAAATGCAACTTTGACCTTCCCTTGAACATCATTTGATAGCAAAAGGATGAATGAAACAATTGTGGATTGTTCTGTTTTCCCTCCAGGCAACATGAGAACTTCAAGGAATTATATATCACACAAAAGAAACTACATTTAATGTGACTTGAAAGATGTGAAGGTTAGAAGGTTAGAAAGTAGACTTTTCAGTTTATGTCCTCAGGGTATAGCTGTGCAATCTCTTAGAAACCAGAGCGTAATTTTTTGTTCATCTGTCCCTTGCTTTGCCCTTAGGATCCTTGTTCTCTCTCCCCACCTGGAACAGATGGAAGTCAGATTGTTAGCAGGTAAGCAAATGAAACTTGCTGTCTCTGAGTTCTTAGAATAAATATGTATCATTTTTAGTGTATTTTTTGTGGCTTATGCGTGGTTAGGAATTACTACATGATATAATTTTTGCTTGGAAGAAAGTGAATGTTTTGTTTTTGAAGTTATTCAGTCTTTTGAACATTTTTCTCTTTATTAAAGATAATTAATATTTATGTTTCTAAAAATCAAAAGATTTGTGATAATTAGGCTATTAGAAAACAGGTAGAGAGAAGAAAGTTCAAAGAACGTGAACATTTGTGTGTCAGTGAATGAGCCATTGTGCAACAAGTAGGAAAGAAATACAGATCACAGGGTGGGAAGAGTTTATTTAAATTAAAAAAAAAAAGTAGTACAGTACTTTATGCCTGAAGCTGACTGCCACCAATGTTTTGTATGAAATGGATTCCAAAAAAGCAACAGTTGTCTGCTCTGAACGAATTTCACCTTGGATACCATGAGACATAAAACGTACAATCTTCACGAAAGTAAGAGGCCATTGTCACGGCCTTTAATGTATTTCGAAATGTTTGGCATTGCAGTTGAAGTAATTTTATTAATACTTAGAAATTTCAAAACATGTTGTTATTTTCCTCATACACACTCTCGGCAACTCCTTCGGCTTTGACCAGAGACACGGTGTCTTTCACGGGGGTGGGCTCTCTGAGAAGGCTGACTTATAACCTGCAGACACAAACATCAGAAAACAGATCAGACAACCCCCAAATTGACCTTCTTCACAATTTTCACTGCGAATTACACTTTCTATTCTTAATGGAACAATATACACCTTAATTGGGTGTTATATTCCATCTGCATTATGAGGCAGTTCTTTGTGCTGAATCTTCAGAGTCTTCTTTTAAGAAAGCTTTTGGCTAGCCTTGGCAAAAAATGCCTGGGCCTGATAAGTAACCAGGATCCATACTCAATGTTTTCAAAATCGCAGCAAAATTAAAATTTTAAATTTTTATTTCTTTCAGTTTCCACTTACTTTCAAATTTTTTTTTAGTAAAAACAAAAATTTCAAACCAGTACACAAATTGGTTTTCTAGTGAACCTGAATACTAGAGTTTAAATTCAAGTAAAAAAAAGAGATAATTGAGAAAAAAAAATCTGTAGTCACAAGTTCCTTGCAAAACTATGTCTTGTTTCTGGTGAAATGGATCCTTCTTTTATCTGATGTCAACTGACTAAACTATTGTTTTCCTCAGAAAGATTCTCAGCTAGGATTTCCACTTGTCTTTATATTTACTTAGTAAAAGGTGTTTGTGACAATTCACTTTCAGAGAAAGAAGAAGAGAGAATCCACGTCTTAAGAGGCTAAGGGACCAGGGAATGAAATGGCCTGGAAAGTGTACAGCGTTAACGCCAGCGGGTCAAGTGTTCACCTGGGGCTCCACTGGGAAGAAGCAAAAGAAAACTCAACATGTAGTCAAAGAACAGCCTCATTTTTCTGGAAAGTGACACTCTAGATGAGTTCCAAGGAAGCTGTTCCTTAGCAACAGCCCCGAAGTCCAGAAACCGTCCTAAACCGTGATGGTCAGCTCCAGCTTCTGCCTGGAAGTCACACTCACTGCTGCATCCTCTCACCAGGGAAATGCATGCGGCAGTGCTGGCAGCAGACGTGATACTGCTCCTGAGCATGGGGTGGGCGGCAGACTCTCTCTGCTCACCCACTATTTTTTACAGAGACTGCTGGATCCGCCGCTTCCCAGGTCTCCTGCTCGACCTGGAGGAGTCTCAGAAGATGGGGGCGCAGTTCTTGAGATACTATACCGAAAGCACTGGCCAGAAATGCAGTCGGAGCTGCTGCCTTAGGAAGGATGGTAAGTATTAATGGTATGTCTGAGCAAAAAATAAGAGGAATCTTCCAAAATGAAGACCTAAGGAAGGAGTCCTAGGCAGAGGGTCCTGTGAACAGTTGAAAACAACTAGGGAAGATGGATGCCCGGAGATGAGAGAGAGGGAGAGACACTGGACAGACGCAGTTTGGGACAGTGTAGGCCCTGTTTACAAGTCTGGTCATGACCCAGAATGCTACAGAGCCTGCAGGTAACAGAGAATCCTCTCTTCTTCTCCAAAGTGCTAAATGGAAATCTTTCTTCAAGTGTCAACTAACAATATTCCTATAGCCCCAGATATAGCATATTTAATTTCAAACATGTTTATAATACTTTCCTTTTCAAAGTTCTTTGGTGATATCGGTATCATTTCAAAATTTTTAAATGTGCTTGCTTGTGTTGACCAAATGTGGGATGTACTGAACAAGAATTGAGATTGTGATTCATATTTGGAAACAAGTAGGAAGATATATGTCAAATAGAAAAAAAAGAAGAAAGGGGGAAGAGAGAGAGAGAGATTAAGATTAATTTTCAAAACACCCTAACAAATATGTTCTGTCTGAAATCTGGAATTAGGGTTTAATATCATCCATATAACAGGACCAGAGCCTGTACTTAGGCAAATGTGTCATTGTTGCAGAACTGCAAGTTACAATTGTCTAAAGACTTCTTCCATTTATTTTTCATTCTTCCAAGATTTTAAAGCTTCTTAGAAAGAAACAACAAAGCAACACAACACTTTAAAGCAATTCTCTTTGTTGCTTCTGACTTACCAGTTGCCAATGCCTCCCATCCAATTATGCACACAACATTTCTGATGCAAAATGGAGCTGCTTGGACAGCCTAAACTGTCAAAAAATAAAACACAAATAAACCGTCAAAAGACCACAGCTGTGAGTTGTCACAGCCTAAGTCCTCAGAAGTTAATCAGGCACAGAAGACAGCAATTCATCTATTAAAGGAAAATCTTTTGGAAAAGGTGGCCAATCCAGATTGTCACCGTAGAGAGGCTTCTGATGCCGGAAACCCGCACTGAGGGGCAGTGGGAGAGCCGAGGTACTGTCTCACCCAGTGTTTCCTCAGGGCGTCACTTTACCTCTCAACACCAGGGAAGCCGAGGCTTCTGGGCTTTCAGGGCACTGCAAGCCTCCAGGGGAGTTCCATGGGTTTAGAGCCTCTGCAGCTCCAAGCTGTGACTTTCTGCAGAAGCAAGGGCACAGGCACACGTCCCAGTGTTTAGCGGGAAGCCAGAAGAACTTAAAAATGCCACAGTCCTGCACAAGCTAACCTGCTCAAAGGGGTCTCTGAAATGTACACAAAGAGGAATGTAAAAACACTTTTAAAAACTATTTCCTACAGCATCAACCTTCTTATCAGAAATGTAATGTCTAAATTGGAGTATCTTTTATTCCTTTCCCTTCAACTTTCCAGCAGTCTCAGGGAGTGCATTTGTGATTTATAATGTATTAGCAGTGTATTAGTGCCTTTTGTCCTCTTCTTTCTCCTACTGGAAAAGTGTTCAGAAACATGGGGTGTCCCAGAAGTAATGGGGGTTGCAGCTGCCGCAGTCAACCTTGCGCAGGAAGAGTGCAGGTTCAGTGACGGCAATTCCACAGCAGCTGTAGGCATCCCTCCGGCCTGGCGATCACACACAGTCGCTCTGTACTCTTTCAGTAAAGAAGCTGCTATCTTCTGGCTAGGGGATACTTCCTGTCACCTGGTTTGCACTGCACTGCAGCAGGGAAGCACGTGCTGCACTTCAGGGCAAAGTGGCTGAAGATCTGCATTTAACACGGATGACTTCAGGTTCTCCAGAAATAACACGATGTATTTTAAGGAGGACACTTACTTAGAAATAAGGGAGATAGCCTGAGCAAGTAATGTCCTCCTACCCACTAAAATCCAAATGCTAACATCCTTACTTATCTACTGCTTTCCTCCTTGAAGGACACTGATGAGGCTGTTCATCGGATGTTGTTTTGCAACATGGGGCTAGAGCACACCTGCAGTCAGGGTCAAGGCCAGCGGCCTTTCCACCACCTGGCCTCTCCCAGTAACGTAGTCATTATGTTTTTCACCCTTTCTGTCCCTTTTCTGTTACAGTATTTGTCCTCTTATTTTCCTATTTCTTTCTCTGCTGAACCTGAGCATTCTGAGAGAGCATTCTGCTTAGAAATCTGGGGTGTGTATGTGTGTGTACATATAAACACACATATGTGTGTATACATATATATGTGATACGTATTTTCTTTTAAAAGGGTGGTTGCTATAGTTCCTAATGTTCTGTAAACAGTCTGACTGTAGCCCTGCAATGCACTGTTAATCCCGTGTTCGTGACAGAGATGGGCTAGCAGAGCTCATCACACGGGTAGAAACCAGGACCAGCTGCAGGGCCCTTTGCTGTTTCCCTTCCAGTGGCCTGTAACTTGGCCGTCTTCTACCACGACCCCATTCATGACAGTGTCAACTGCCTGCACATTCACTGCCCAGCGACGGAGAGCTGCATCCTGGAGCCGGGGACCAGCGCCATTTTGTACACCATCACAGACGGTAACGATTTCTGGGTTTTGTCTGGCTTTTGGAGAATGTTGGTGATAGCCTCCTCATAGGGGCATTAAAACTGGCTGGTAATAGCCATGTATCAATCCCTAAATCATCATGTTTTTCGGTGAATTCTGTCAGGGTGGAAGAGTTTTGAACATCCAGGATAGAAACTAAAAGGAAATTCCCTTCAGTTGGACATGTTCAGCAATGATGAATTTATTCCACATGATAGCAAATCAAGTGATTGAACAAGCGGTTAAGCATTATATTTCATTTGTCACTAGCACCTTCAGCAAGAGCCAAAGTAGGCATTTCTACTGTGGTGGCTAAGGATACCACCAAGAAATAATAATAATAATAATAACAATAACAACACCAATAAGCTAAAGGGCAGCTTTGGGGTCCACTGACACTGAATACACAAATCCTATGCACCACCACTTACATACATTAGCATATCATTGGGCCCAAGATAACCAGTGTGTTTTATTTTAGAAAACAAACAACTTAAGTGTCCTTTGCCCAGATATGTAATAATCTCAGCGTGTAAATTAGTAAACACAAAACAATAGGTTTCTATCATGAGAATACAATGGAGGTGACTTATCAGTTTGTACTTAACGGATCAGCTAACACCGCAGGCTGTGCCATTGCAGGAGGTCGCAGCCCGAGTCTGCCGTCAAGTCCCTTACAATCTGGTTGATGGGGCAAGTCTTCCAACTGGTGAACGACATAATTAAATGCAGTAATGTATGGCACTGCCTCAAGTACAAAGGCTCAAAAGAAGGGAAGAATAAGGCAAGCTAGACAGTTCAGAGGTTTCAGGGAAAAGGCAAGACTAGCTCTGTACCGCACCATGGGAGGTAATAAAACCAGCCTGACTACAGTAAGGGCACCCTTGGGGCTGCACTGAAAATACAGGTGAGGTAAGGTAGGCTGTGGGCAGAGCAGAGTTAGAAACCAACAAAGTATTAAGTGATAAGAGGCCATCATAGGAACAGTATTTGCAGCAGGCAGGTCAGAAAATGTAGTCAGGAGGCATTTTCTGGACAAGGTCATGGGAGCTGCAATACCGAGGAAGGATGGTTATTGGCATACTGAGAAGGAACTGGGCAGCATTAGTTACTTTTGGACATTGGAAGAGAAGGATGGAAAGTCACTTTGCAGAACAGATTCCACCACAGGAGCTGAGATAACAGCGATGCCACTGAGTAGGACAAAGAGACAAAAAGATTGTGGCCTTGGGGATGCTCAGTGATGCTGTGCAATGTCTGCCTCCAACAGAACCTGGGAGAAATGAGATCAGAGCTCAAGAATGAGGGAGAAGCTGGTATGTGTCATCAGTGCAGTGGACACAGCTGATGACAATAGTGTCCTTGGAGGGAGTGGGTGTGCAATGAAAGGAAAATACAGCAGACCAAGAACTAAAGATTGTGGAAACTGTGCAACCAGTTGAGGCCAAGAAGAGAACTAGGGTAACAAGGGGGAAAAAATGAGAGGGAGGACTCTAGGGCCCTGGGAGTCATGGAAGAATTTACAAAAAAAAAAAAAAAATGGTGCCAGCAGTATCAAGGACAGGAGGGAGCCAAAGCGATGAGACACAGGGATCAGGACACAAGGGAACTACTGGTTATCTCAGAAACATAATTTGACAGAACAGCTAGAATGGAAACAAGATGACAGAAGGAAAAAAAAAAAAACAAAGCCAGAAAGGAAATGAAGGAAATGGATGTTGGTGTGTCTGGGGAGGGAGGGATGGAGGGAGGAAGGGAGACCTTAGCAGCAGGGACAACTGGACAGCTGCTGAGAAGGTTTCTTCCTCTTGAAAGTCAAAGCAGCATTTGCACATGTCTGACGTCACCGGAAAAGGAGTTAGTTTTCAAGAAGAGAGAAAATATAGCAGGACCCTCAGGCACAGGAAAGGGTGAGACTTAGGGCTTTGCTTGTGATTTAGAATTTTGCCCCATTTTGTTTATTTAAAAATGCTGTAAGATATCTCAAATGGTTCCTGTTTCTGTAGCTCTTGCACTAGCACTCACTATTGTTGCCCCGAAGCCCTGGCAGAGGAAGTACTCCCCATGATGGAGCCAAATCTGTCCTTAACAGGAAGTGTCCTAGAAAGTTAAGTTCAAATGTGCTCCAGTATGTTTCTAAGTCTTTCAGAAGTAAGCAACTATCTTAGTTCAGTAACTCATAGCAGCAAAACCTGAGACTTCTCCAAACTACACTTCATGGTCCTTTTATTATTTTTCTTTAATTTTTACTAAATTTATTGGGGTGCCACTGGTTGATAGGAGCACATAGGCTTCAAGTGCACATTTCTCTGACACTAGAACTCTATGTTGACTGTGTCCCCAATACCCAAAGTCAAATTATCTTCTCTCACCATGTATCGGGCCCCTTCCGCCTCCTCTGGCAACCAACACATAGCTATCTGTGTCCACATATGAGTGAAATCATATGATTCTTAGCTCCTTCTGACCTATTTCACTTAGCATAATATTCTCAGGGTCCGTCCATGTTGTCACAAATGGCAGCATTTCATCATATGGCTTCCATACTATCTATATGTACCACATCTTTCTGCAACCCTATGGAAGGGCACTTTGGTCGTCTCCATGTCTGCGCCTCCGTGAACAGCACTCCAATGAACGTAGTGGTATATGTATTTTTGCAAATACACGTATCCAAGTTTTTCAGGTAAATACCCAGGAGAGGGATGGCTGGGCCACAAGGTGACCCTATTCTTCATTTTTTGAGGAACTGCCAGACTGTTTTCCATAGTGGCTGTACTAGTCAAATAAAATGAACAATGCTTTATTTATCTTTCAGGTATAGATCCAGATTTGCTGGTTTTTGGACAGGCACCTCCCACGTATCTAAATACCCGTTCTTCATCTAATATATGGGACGCACTAAGAAATCTAAAAGATACAAATGTAGATAAACAGCAGCCCACCATGATAAAACAAATGCTACCATCAACAGAGGCTCTAGCATCAACCACACATCAAGATTTGGTTGTCAACACAAGCCATACCAGATATTCCAAGGAATTAACCACAGATTCTTGGGCAAGAGTCATTTCCCTGAATGATTCCATTGCCACAAAGGTAAATAAGGTGTCACGCAGTGCTGACTTCATCAGCAATCCAGATAACAAGACTGTTTCTGCTTTCTTTGTGCCCACAGACACAAAACCTTCTCATATGCCCATCCCATCCCCACTCAGCAGCAACAAGCAATTGCTGAACAAAACCAAAGGGTCCAACAGCGGGAACCACACCTCTGAGAATGAAAACAAGACACCTAATGGGGCACCTGTGACTTCAAAGACATGGCTGGTGCCTGTGGCCCTCTGCGCCTCCGTCGTCTTTCTCTGCTGCTGTATAGTCCTCCTGGCATCCGGATGCTGCCGAAAGCAGCAGGGCCAGTATACACCAGGACAGAGAAAGTCAGCATCCAGGCAAATTTTAAAAAGTTACATTCTGAAGGCGAACTCTTAATAGCAAGAGTTATAAAAGATTGTGAGCTTTCAAGAGAGTATCATTCCTAGTTTTCTGCAAGGGCTGTTTAGTTAAAAAATAAATGCATAGGATGCCCACTCCGACCAATAGCTACAAAAGGCTAATGCTGGATAAATGTAACTGCTTTTTTATTGCCTTTTTTGAATAGTGTACCCTTTTGTCAAATTTCCAAAATTCTGACCTCTGCAGTTATTGAGCATCATGTGAGAGATACAGTTCTAAGTGCTGTAAGTGTACAATTCTTTGAGTTACGTATACTATTATTAGCCATTATGCTATTATTATCACATTATGCAGATGAAGGAACTGAGGAAAAGACAAAGTGTCTTGCCTAATGTCACACAACTAGGAAATAAGTGAAGCTAGGACATAACAAGCCATCTGTTCTAAAGTTCATTGTCAAAATCACTGTTAGACTAAAAGCCTCAATTTTCTTAATAAGCATGGGAAAAATATACAGGGAGAAAAATACTCTAACATCTTATTTGTTTCCCATCAAGGTCAAATTATTGTTACATGTTAATAAAATTTTACAATGGTTTGAGCAAAAGAGCACTATAAACTATTAGTTAATAACCCATGAGCAAATGCTTCCTGATTTTTATAATTTTCTGTCTCTTTGACTAATCCTTCTCAATCCCAAGCAATCTTCATTTTCTAAAGATGACACTCCTTTGCGTAATTGTGGCACGGAGACCTTCAAGTTTTACAATGACTCCTGTTGAACAAAGTTTGGGAGTTTTACTTTACCTCTCTTGCTTACATACACTGTTTATCCAGCTGCAAACATTAGCACTAGGTACTTCATTTCTGTCCACCTCTTACACCAGATTTACCTAAATCTTAGACTCAAAAGAAAATTTTAAATTACGTCTCTAATGATCTTCAACTGTAGGCCCTGAACCTTATCCCTGAAACTCTTTTTAATGTGAGAACAGACATTAAGACAGGCATAAACATCAAGAATACGCAAGAGAAAATCTTATTACAGACATAAAATAGTACTGTTCCCTCAGAATATTAACCATAAATAAATCTGAGTTAAAAATTTTAATCAATTTGCCTTAACTTGCTATTTATAATAACATCATAAATTTGTTCAATTTCCTTCCTAATATATTAGGAGAAAAAGCTCCTGCTATTTATGGGGTATATCAAGATTTACATTATCCTAGAATATATTTAAATAGATAATTCAGGAAGCTGTCTTTAAAAATTATTTCTACATACATTCTTTTCAAAGATTACTCTTCTTTCAAATGTATACAAATTACTTTTGTGTCCCAACACACTTGGGCTGCTAGGGGGAAAAAAAGGTTTTCCTTCTTTGGAGTTCCTCAGGATTTTACTCATTCCTTAAAATTGATAGTTGCATGGAAATGGCCACAATTTGGGAAAAATATATTTATCTTTGTAATAAAACAAACTCATACTCTTCTTCTGCAGTCCCTACCTTTGGCCATCAGGTAAACCAAGTAAACTTAGAGCGGAGAGGCAATCAGACCAGAGACGGCCAAACAGCAAACACAACCGGGCCTAGAATCACGTCCTCAGGGGAAGTCTGAAGGGACCAAAGAGCACTCCTGAACAGAATTAGAACTTTAGGAGACAAAGACATCTGCCCGGTCCACAACTGAGGGTAAGGCTGTTACACCCACTTGGGAAATAACCACATACTGAAATCTCTCCAGTGCTCTAGGTAGATCTTTACGTCTGTAATGGCCCAGTATTAATGAAATACTTACCAATACTGTAAAGAAAATATGCAAAGAACTAAAGCACCCTACAATTAAGAAAACAGGTTTATTTGCCTACGTTTTTAAGCAACTTCTGAGCTATTTAAGAGTTTGAAGTCAGAAGTGACTGCCTTTCAGTACAGCAGAGTGTCCCCCAGAATCTTCATGGCAAGAGTGAATAGGATAATGTTCCTTGTACATATTGGATCAATGAATAAAAGGCAAAAATCTACCTGACAAACAGTGCTGTTTAATTAGGGTTAAAATCACAATGACAGGAACTGTTACCTTTTAAAGCAGTTTGTATTAATCTTTTATAGCTCTAAGATTTTGCTGTCCTAGGTGGGTGAGAGCCTTCAGGTCAGTGAGACAAACTGCAAAGTTTAAAGGGCACAGCCCTGCACAAAACTACCGTCACTTCTGAGACCAACTCTCAGTTCGGGCTGGGGCAAGAGTCCCTAATCCACCCTCAGGTTGGACAATTTATTACAGTAACTCACAGAACTCAGTGAGAGTGGTTACACTCACAGTTGTGGTTTATTACGGGCAAAGTATACCAATTACACTCAATCAAGGGAAGAAGCACATAAGATGAAGTCCAGGAAGGTTCAAAACGCATAGCTGCAGGTGAACTCTCCCACCCCCAGAGGCAGGACGAATTACTCTCCCAGTTCATGTCTAACGACATACCCAGAGTATTGCCAAGTAGGGGAGTTTGCCCGAGCCTCAGTGTTTCAAGTTTTTATTGAGGCTCTATTACATAGATATGATTGACTAATTACCTGGTAGTTGATCTCAGATTTACCAGATGACTCAAAGCCCCCACCGAAATCACATGGTTGGTTTTCTGGCATGCCTAAAATTATCAGGTGTGGCCAACCCCACCCTGAAATCCATTGTGAGCGGCTCAGACCTAAACAAAGACACGTCTATGAGGTATGACGCAGATTGCCTCCCAGAAGCTGAAGAAGCCAGGCCTTTGGAAAAGGTCAAATTCTTTATTATGCATTCCCCTGCTTGTGCCTGCATGGTATTATCACTTCAGGGTCCAGGACCCTGATTTACCACTGTTCACATGTTCCCTCCAGGTGTTTCCTCCTTCAGTCCTGTTGCTCCCGCTGAGTTTTCCTGAATTCTGAGTTTCTGAAAACAGTAGCATTTCATTCAATACACGTATGGATGCCTTAGCCCTGATATAAAAATGCTTTGTTTACTTTGCTATTCATTCACTATTTTCATCCAGTGAAATACAATGTACCTCCCTCTGTTTCATGTTCAAAGTCCTATTGTTGTCTTTTTCAACTACTGCCTCTTGGGCTTGCTAATACCAAATCTTACCTTTGATTTACATAAATCTTTTGGGCAAGTCTTTTGACATTCCTTTTGGCTTTCCTTTTGTTCTCTAATTCTGTCAGGCAAAGTAAGTCTTAGACAAATAAACTCAATAATTCCTTTGTTTTGTTTTTAAATTAATCATGTGTGGACAACTTTGGAAGTAGTAAGAAATGACTTACAGACATACTTAAATATACTGAATTGACAGCAAAATGGAAGGGGGCGTTTCTTAGGGCAGTTCTCATTTTGTCATTTACTCCATTAAAACTCAAGGTCTTTATTTACACCTCATCTCTTTGTTCAGCTGTGGAAGCTCTAATGGAGGAATCAAGAGATAAATACCAGTTGATCTCCATTTCCACTTCTGCAAACTTGAGCTTGGAAAAACAAGCCCAAGAAAATAGAGAAACTAAGGTGCTAAACAGAATAGAATCACCATAAAGTTTGACCCCAAAATAGAGGAATGGAACCAACTTTCTACTTCCAATGACCTGTTGCTAATCAAAATTGGCATCTGCAAAACGCACAGGGGAGCTAGCACTCAGGTAAACAAAACACCACACGGGCCTGCCTTCCCAAACCACCAAATCACAACTCAGAAGCGTCCAATAAGTGCTCATGTGTAGGGAAATTAACTAACTATATTATATATGTATACACATACACACATAAATTCTGAAGTTGTTATGGTAGAAATAAAATCAAAACCCTTTAAAACCAGAAGCAATCACGGAGATCTAATTTGTCTAACTGCTCCAGAATATAAAGAAAATTTGTGAATAATCATCACCATTGCACATTAGTATAAAAGAAAAAATTTTAACTCTGAAGTAAAACTGTTTCTATAAACATTTTTAATTTTATATCAAACTAGATAACAATTACATATAGATCATACAATTAATAAAGCAAGCATACTTCTGTACATAATTCACGTCAGATTTAATAGTCTCTTCACTGCTTCTTTGTACTGAGAAAGGGTATTTTCATTGTCCCCCTCGTTCTTAAGACTAACAACAGACTTTTTGTAATCTTCAACCTCTTTGGTACCAAGGAGCTCTTCCTTATTTACTTCCAGGTTTTTCTCTGCAGCCTTAATTTGGAGAAGTGTTTCCAGGATATTTTTTTCTGACGAGCTATTTGTCCATACATACTCTTCCATGTCTGCTTCAGTCTTACGTTTCTCCCATTCCTCGGTTTTCTGAAAGGAAAAAAAGAGTTCTGAATTCTGGGAAATGTTACCCAAAGACAGCGTTGGGGGTTGGGGTTGCGAGGGGAAGAAGAGTCTGCAGGAGGTCGACAGCCCTGGCCGGTTGGACACTCCGCGTGCACACTTCCCGCGGCCCTGCTCTGGCGCGGCGCCCACAGCTCAGGGCTGCGCGCAGGACGCGAGCACTCCGTTCCCGCCCACTGACTCCGAGTGCACTCACACAGCAATACTGTTTTCCAGAAGACATATAAAACTCCCTTTTATTTTTGCAGCTTTCTAGTCCCTAAATTCTAACGCATCGACAGTTCACATTTCTGTGGTTAAAAATAATGAGAGTGGAGACTGTATTTATCTTTGTAACATGCCATTGGGGTAACAGGAAAGACCAATTATTATAATGAAATTAAAAATATGAAGTAAGTGTGTAATACATGATTTTCAGTCATAATGACTTCATATATTTTGGAATTTTGTTTTGGTATTATCTTTCCTTTCTGTTCCTATAATGGAAATAATTCTTATTACCACTTGTTTTTTCTTACACAAATTAGTACCAGGCTATTCTAGGGAGCAGTGGTAGGTTTCACAGTAATATAATTCAGCCTCATGATTTAAATGAAGATGTAACATTTTGTGAAAAACCAAGCCACACAGTTAGAAGTAACTAACCTGCTCTGGTTCAGAGAAGTGCTGGATACCAGTCACATTCTTTCAAAATTAACACACAACTAGATTCTGAGCTACCGGCTATCACAGAACCATCTACTATTCTTACAACTTGAAGGTGTAAACTTCCAAAGTTTTAACTTTTAAAGCATTAAAAGAGAGGTGGATTTATGGGCTGTCAGAATTATTTCTGCGAAGTCCTCCTGACAGAGACCCCAGCCCGAGCATCCGGGGCTCCCCAGAACTAGCTGAGCACCGAGAATGCAGTAAGCGGCTTGCACCCGTGCTCCCTGCATTCCTCACCCCAAGGAAAAGGGGGCGCACTGGAGTCCTGTCCCTCAAAGGGTAGAAGAGCAGCCCCACTGAGCACAAACAGGCCACCGGGGCTGCCACTAACTCAGCGGACGCCAGTGAAGTCAAGCCTCGGAGAGAGGCTCACCTAGCGCAGAAACCCACAACAGGAAGGGCACTCCTTGCAGCCTTCAGACCAAGTCCCCGCTGTGCTACTGGAGAAACCAGCAGGATGGAGCCGGTTTCCCCGACCCCAAAGTGCCTTAGCCAATACAGGGTATCCGTACTCACAGCTCCTGTACCATCTGCCCACCTCCCTACACGGAATTTATGGCTGACAACGATGTCTCAACTACTATTCTAGAAATACCTGGTTGAGAATCAGCTCTACGACCCCTTTCTGTCTGCTCGTGAGACTTCAGGCTTGGCTGAGCGGAATGGAAACCCTGTGAAACTTCTCCTGTTGTGCCTTGCTTGCCTACACACTGTGGCAAATGATTTCTAACAGTTGAATTCTGAACTTGTACATTTAAAGAAGTTACTGGCAACATTACCATGCCCCATCTAATTCTTTCTGTAATATTTGGGGAAGAAATAAATGCCAGCCCCTTAAGAAGTGCTCTGAGTAAATGGTAACTATCAACTCTTAGAAATGCTTTAAATGTTTCAAGACAAATGTTGCAGTTTCTTCATAATTCTAATTTACAAGTGAAGGATATTTAAGAGGTCAAGAAATACATTTTATAAAGCATTAAGTAAAACAGTCAATCCATCTCATTCTTGACTATTAGAAATCAAGTAATTAAGAGATTGTTATTCTTAATGCAATAGTAAATTGGTATTAATATATTAATATGATTAATAAAGGCTACTTAACAGCTTAAAAATGTTTCACCTGAATTTTTTTTTTTTAGGTAGGAATGGTGGATTTTTTTTTCAAGATTTTATTTATTTATTTTTAGAGAGGGAAGGGAGGGAGGGAGGGAGGGAGAGAGAGGGAGAGGGGGAGAGGGGGAGAGAGAGAGAGAGAGAGAGAGAGAGAGAGAGAGAGAGAGAGAGAGAGAGAGAGAGAGAGAAACATCAATGTGTGGTTGCTGGGGGTTATGGCCTGCAACCCAGGCATGTACCCTGGGTGGGAATCGAACCTGCGACACTTTGGTTCGCAGCCTGTGCTCAATCCACTGAGCTACGCCAGCCAGGGCTCTGAATTTTTACAATTATTTTTTATTTACTGATTTTGGAGAGGAAGAGAGAGAGACAGAGACGGAGAGGTAGAAGAGGGACTGGGTGGGGGGAGAGAGGGAGAGAGAGAGGCATCGATTTATTGTTCCACTTATTTATGAATTCACTGGTTGACTCTTCTATGTGCCCTGACCAGGGATCGACCCGTAACCTTGGCATATCAGGACAACTCCCTAACCAAGTGAGCCACCCCGGCCAGGGCTTCACCTAGATTTACCAAGATTTTCTTAACTGCTTTGAAACAGATGCTTAAATAAGGCATAACCAAAGTAAATACACAAATCAATTCCAACATTTTATTTATAGCCCCCCGACATTTTGTGTACACAATTCTAGCCTGGTTTGCCAGGGTGTGCTACAGGTGTGCTGTAATACTGATTCCTTCAGGCCTCAGGAGCCCAGGTGAGGCTGGAGCAATGACGAGTACCCTCCTCCTCCACTCATCTCAATTTTAAAATTAGACTGTAGTGATACAATGATGGGGAAACCCACAGCAACAAACAAACAAACTGCAAGAAAGCAGCTCAACAGACAGAGACCCCCTGGAGTGTGACTGCTATGGGCGCCTTTTCATCCGCATCTGCTGAGAGCCTACTGCCTGCCTGGCAATGCTGGGAGCAGCACACTACCTCTGGGCGCCCTAGCTAAAAACGAATGTTTTCACCTCCAGTATTTTAGGCAAAAGGTTCATTTGCTTGTTCATACGAGATACATGCTGACATTCCCCTTCAGGTGAAATAAAAAATAGTGTCAGCTAAAACAAAAAGCTCATTATTCAAATGCGATAGCACTGACACTGGACCAAAATTCAATTCAAAAGCTAATCGTTTACATAAGTCTATTAACTCTACTAAACACAATTTTATTGTTTTTGCAATTAAAAAATCTACTATGGAAAATCTCAAACATACACAAAAGTACTTCAAACATGTACAAATACACATTTCGTGTGTACATTAGACAACAGCACTGTGAACTCTCACCTGCACAATATCCGACTCACAGCCAATCTCGTTTCACGTATGTGGCTCTATATGCAAAAGCACTGCTCCCTTACCATGCTCTCATGTAATTATTTTGAAGGAAACCTCAAACTTTGTCATTTTATCCATATTAATTTTTTCCTAAAAAAGAATTACTTTAAAATCATAACCACAGTACTGCAGTAGTTTGTGGTATTTAGATTCACAAGAGCCTAACCTAAGTCAGCCCGTTCATTCATTCCATTTATTCATTCATTCCATTTACTCATTCCATCAATAGGCAATTCCCGTGTGCTGATGATCTGCCCCACAGCTGTTTCCCTGGTATCCTCTGACCCAGAATTGTGGCCACAGTTACTGGACAATGCCTGGCTGAAGCAGAGTCCCTCCCTTATAGTTTGAATCCAAAGAGAGAATTAAATTTAGCTTAGTTTAGTTTTTAGTTTTGTTGCTTTGTGCCTCCTCACCCCACCTCTGCCTTCCCCCACCCTAGGGTGACTGGTTCTATAAATCCTGAAATAGTGAAGGTCATGCTTTCTGACATGTAGACTGGAGGAGGAGAGAAAATCAATTTTCAAACAAAAAATATGAGGCAGTTGCCTACAGAGTAACAGGGCCCAGGGAATAAAAACAGCCCATTCCTGAGATTTTGTAGGATCCTTGCCCTCATATCTTCTCAGTGTAAGCTGCTTGAGTGAGCTTCTATGACTCACAACAAGGAGGTCTCAACTAATACACAGCGCCCAGGAGTGAGGCTTAATGACAGAGTTTGGAGTTTGTCAGCACATACTGAGTTGGCCAAAAAGTTCATTTGGTTTTTCTATAAAACAAAAAATAGATTTTTCATTTTCACCAATAACTTTATTGATTTGGATACTTTGAAAATGTCAGGCATATTCCGAGTGGTATAATGTTGATTGTTGTCAATTAATGTCTCAATTTGATCACTGTCAGCTTCAACTGGTCTACCCGACTATGGAGCATCGTCCAGCAAGAAATCTCCAGTAGGAAACTTCACAAACCACTTTTGACATGTTCGATCAGTCACAGCACCTTCTCCACACACTGCACAAACCTTTTGTTTCTGTTGTGTTTTCATGTTTCTTAAAATAATAAAGCATAACATGGCAAAAATTGTGTATTTTCTTCCATCTTCAATATTAAAATGGCTACACAAAAATTCACCAATTTCTATAAGTGCTTTTACAATGCACACTGATATGACAGCTGTCACAATATAATCTAACAAAACTGTTTCAAAAGACAACTAAGTGCTGCTAGAGCCATACGGAAAAAACAAACTTTTTGGCCAACCCAATGCAAGATAATTAACATCACCTGGGAGAGGGTACACAATGAAGAAAAAAGAGGGAAAGGACAAAACTTGGGGAACAATTAAATATAATTGATTTAGACTAAAATATGTAGCACACATTTCTAGAAATATGGCATTTCAGTTAGAAATATTACAGTTAAAATGGATCAGTATTATTTTTAAATAAGCAGTATCTCCAAAATGTCACACTTAAAAATAACAAATTTTGAAATAAGATTTTTACATGACTTTAAATGGTCTTTTTGGAAGTTTCCTTTTTTAAGAAAACAAACAAACATTTTTCTTTAAATTCAATGTATTTAAGCAAAAGCTCTTTAAGGGCCCCTAAAAACAAGGGTCAATGCCAAAGTGATAGTTATCCAGAACTGAATACGGACACAGTATCAGCAGGCTGCAGTTGCAGATACATCTCCCACAGAAAAGAAGAAATCACTGAAAAGCAAAGGGGAAGAAAAGCACCTGTAACTCTACCA